TGTTTATAGAGACCGCTCGTGTTGTTGTTTTCAGCGATGAATCGGTAGGCTTGTTGTCAGGTGGTACTTTCCATTTATTGATCAGGTTTTGAGCGTCCTGAAAGTGAAGTCCGTTCAATATTTCATCAAATAACAAAAAAAAAATTTGGTTCACACTGGGCTTATTTTAACAATGTGGTCACATGACTCCTTCTGATGTAACTGCAGATCTGCTGTAAGCTAGCCAGCTAACGTAGCTAACCTAGTCATTTCAGATATCCTGACAAACACTTACAGTTAAGAGAAGACTGACTCTGAGACAGAGACAGGTAACAGAAAGACACTTAACACAATACTATTTAGATGAAGGGTGCAAAGTAACTCCAGTTGTATTGTGTTTAAATGTACAGTGTGAGAAGCAGCAGGTATATGAGTATATGACCAGGACTAGATGACTGAACTCCTGTGTAAAGGTGTGTAGACTCACCTGTGATGTGTCCTGTCTGCTGCAGTCTCTGTATCAAGGATCTCCGGTCAGTTTGCTCTCTCTCTCTCTCTGCGTCTGATGTGTGCACGCATCACTCTTTACTCTGACGCTGTGCACGCGGATGCATTTGAGCTCTGGTGACTGTGATATATCTTCTCTGATGCAAGGCGTGCAGTGCTTTGTCTTCACCTGTGGCTGTCTCTGCTTCCTGCTCCGGCTTCATTATGACATCAAAGACCGGACTTTGATGAGTTTGAGCAAACAAAGAAAGCAGCTTGCAATATGTTTGGGACTGTGTGACACTTCTGAGGGTGGTTATTCATGTTATGATCATGTGTGCATGTGGTACATTTCCATTTCTGACGTTATTCTAATAATTTTGACTTTTTTCTAAGAATTTTGACTTTTTTCTTAGAATTTTTTTTTTCTTTCAGAAATTCAAAATGTTCCAGATTTTTTACTTTTTTCTCATATTTTGACTTTTTTCTCATATTTTGACTTTTTTCTAAGAATTTAGTTCTTTTTTCATATTTCTGATGTTTTCCCTCAGTTTTGAGCAAACAAAGAAAGCAGCTTGCTTGTCTGGGACTGGTTTTTCATGTTATGATAATGTGTGCATGTGTTGCATTTCCCAGAATAACCCTCTTTGTTTGTGTTTCAGATCAAACTGGTGAACATTCACGCCACCGACATCGCAGACGGACGCCCGTCCATCGTCCTCGGGCTGATATGGACCGTCATCCTCTACTTCCAGGTACAAACAGATTAAAAACCGGAGTAAACCGGTTATTAGAAACTCTGAATACTGAGGCTTTAATCACTTCATGCTGAGCTTTTATCTCAACAAAATAGCAAAGTCAATTTGATTTAAATTAAGATATAATAAAAGTATAAGCATCAAATTCAACTTCAAGAACAAAAAGTAAAATGACTAATTCTGTAAAAAAATCTGCTAAAATTCTTTGAGAAAAAGTAAAAATTTTTATAGGGTTAGACTTCTGGGAAAAAACATCTGAGAAAAGTAAAAATTGTAAAAATCTGAGAAAAAAAATAAATTCTTGGAAAAATATCAACATTCTGAAAAAAGTCTAAATATGAGAAAAACACAATTCTTTGAAAAAAGTGAACATATGAGAAAAATCTAAATTCTTAGAAAAACTTAAGAATTCATAAAAAAGTCAAAACACTGAAAAAAGTCAATTTCTTAGAAAAACCCCAAACTTCTGTGAAAGAAGTCTCCTGTTGCTGACCAGGTCTCCTCTCTCCTCCTCTCTCCTCTCCTCCTCTCCTCAGATCGAGGAGCTGACCAGTAACCTGACCTCCCTGCAGCCCCTCTCCACCAGCAGCTCCTCAGTGGAGAGCAGTGAGGCCGGCAGCCCCCCCCCCATGAAGAGGAAGGTGGTGCAGCGTTTCCAGGGCGGCGCCAAGAAGGCCCTGCTGCGATGGGTCCAGAGCACCGCCGCTCAGTAAGAAGCTTTCAGTTATCAGTGGGGTTCAACTATCAGATATCAGAGGAGGTAACTCTGCCAAGAAGGCCCTGCTGCGATGGGTCCAGAGCACCGCTGCTCAGTAAGATTCACTCACGGTGGGGTTATAGATATCAGAGGAGGTAACTCTGCCAAGAAGGCCCTGCTGCGATGGGTCCAGAGCACCGCCGCTCAGTAAGATTCACTCACTGTGGGATTATAGATATCAGAGGAGGTAACAGAGGAGGTAACAGAACATAACGTCTCTGTGTGTGTGTTCTTTAAGGTAAGCTGAGGTGTGTGTGTTGTGTCATAACCTTCCTCTGTGTGTGTGTTTCAGGTTCCACGGTCTCCAGGTGAAGGACTTCGGGCCCAGCTGGAGGGACGGAGTGCTCTTCCAGTCCGTGGTCCACTCCATCAGACCTGACCTGGTGGACATGGAGGAGGTGAGGAGGAGGAGCAACAGGGAGAACCTGGAGGAGGCCTTCTCTCTGGCAGAGAACCAGCTGGGCATCCCCCGCCTGCTGGACCCCGAAGGTACACCTCATCAAATATATAGCTTTCATAACATGCTCTTTGTTCAGACGAGTGGAAAGAACTCATCTAAGTCCACATCCAGGAGGTTATTCCATGAAATCTGTCTGTTTGTGTCTGCAGATATCTCATTCATCTATATTAACAACATGTCAGAAAGCTTGTTGGAAGAAACATAACTGTGTTAGTCAGTAATAATATAATAATAATAATGTTAATAATACACTTTATTTATTTAGCACCTTTGATGCTGGACGCAGCCCAAAGAGCTTTACAGAGTATGACAGAACATGACAATAACACATGAGGAACATCATTACAAACAAGGTATAAACAAACAGAAAGAGTGAAATCACTGAACCATAAAACAATAAAACTATAAAACCATAAAACCATAAAACAATAAAACTATAACACCATAAAACAATAAAACTATAAAACTATAAAACCATAAAACAATAAAACCATAAAACTATAAAACCATAAAACCATAAAACTATAAAACCATAAAACTATAAAACTATAAAACCATAAAACTAATAAAACTATAAAACCAAAAAAACTATAAACCATAAACTATAAAACTATAAAACCAAAAAACTATAAAACTATAAAACCATAAAACAATAAAACCATAAACAATAAAACCATAAAACTATAAACCATAAAACTATAAAACTATAAAACCATAAAACCATAAAACTATAAAACTATAAAACCATAAACCTATAAAACTATAAAACCATAAAACCATAAAACTATAAACTATAAAACCAAAAAACTATAAACCAAAAACTATAAAACTATAAAACTAAAAACTATAAAACTATAAAACCAAAAAACTATAAAACCATAAAACTATAAAACCACAAAACTATAAAACTATAAAACCAAAAAACTATAAAACTATAAAACCAAAAAACTATAAAACTATAAAACCAAAAAACTATAAAACCATAAAACTATAAAACCACAAAACTATAAAACTATAAAACCAAAAAACTATAAAACTATAAAACCATAAAACCATAAAACTATAAAACTATAAAACAATAAAACCATAAAACAATAAAACCATAAAACTATAAAACCATAAAACTATAAAACTATAAAACCATAAAACCATAAAACCATAAAACTATAAAACTATAAAACCATAAAACTATAAAACTATAAAACCATAAAACCATAAAACCAAAAAACTATAAAACCAAAAAACTATAAAACTATAAAACCAAAAAACTATAAAACTATAAAACCAAAAAACTATAAAACCATAAAACTATAAAACCACAAAACTATAAAACTATAAAACCAAAAAACTATAAAACTATAAAACCAAAAAACTATAAAACTATAAAACTATAAAACCAAAAAACTATAAAACTATAAAACCATAAAACTATAAAACCATAAAACTATAAAACTATAAAACCATAAAACTATAAAACCATAAAACTATAAAACCATAAAACTATAAAACTATAAAATCATAAAACCATAAAACCATAAAACTATAAAACTATAAAACCATAAAACTATAAAACTATAAAACCATAAAACCAAAAAACTATAAAACCAAAAAACTATAAAACTATAAAACCAAAAAACTATAAAACTATAAAACCAAAAAACTATAAAACCATAAAACTATAAAACTATAAAACCAAAAAACTATAAAACTATAAAACCAAAAAACTATAAAACTATAAACTATAAAACCAAAAAAACTATAAAAACTATAAAACCATAAAACTATAAAACCATAAAACTATAAAACTATAAAACCATAAAACTATAAAACCATAAAACTATAAAGACCATAAAACTATAAAACCATAAACCTATAAAAACTATAAAAACCATAAAACTAAAAACTATAAAACCATAAAACCATAAAACTATAAAACCATAAAACTATAAAACCATAAAACTATAAAACAATAAAAGAATAAAACATGAACAGTGATACTAAAAGAAAATGACAATTGACCCAAATGATAAGCCACGTTAAAAAGATACACTGAAAAACTGAAACGTTGACTTCAACAGATTTCACATAACTGTATTAGGTTAGATGAAAGTCATAATATCAAGTTGAAGTTCTACTTCATATTATTGCTTTCAACTAACTTAATACAGTATCTGTTGACAACGTCATTTAGATCTCTCTGTCTGTAAACACACACTGAGTAAGATTGACATTAAAGTTGACTTTGACTTTTTTGACTTTGATAATACAATTAATGAAAGTCAACGGTTCAGTTCTTTCAATGTAGGTCTTTATTGTAATGAGGTGGGGGGGTTTCAGGCTGATATCTGTAGTGTTTCCTCTGAAGTGGTTGTAGTCGCAGATTGACGCTGCGTTCCCGTGCTGCTCAGTGTCATTCTGCAGCCTCTCTGCAGTCTGTCTGCAGCCTCTCTGCAGCCTCTCTGCAGTCTGTCTGCAGTCTGTCTGCAGTCTGTCTGCAGTCTGTCTGCAGCCTCTCTGCAGCCTCTCTGCAGTCTGTCTGCAGTCTGTCTGCAGCCTCTCTGCAGTCTGTCTGCAGTCTGTCTGCAGTCTGTCTGCAGCCTCTCTGCAGTCTGTCTGCAGTCTGTCTGCAGCCTCTCTGCAGCCTCTCTGCAGTCTGTCTGCAGTCTGTCTGCAGTCTGTCTGCAGCCTCTCTGCAGTCTGTCTGCAGCCTCTCTGCAGTCTGTCTGCAGTCTGTCTGCAGCCTCTCTGCAGCCTCTCTGCAGTCTGTCTGCAGTCTGTCTGCAGCCTCTCTGCAGTCTGTCTGCAGCCTCTCTGCAGCCTCTCTGCAGTCTGTCTGCAGTCTGTCTGCAGTCTGTCTGCAGCCTCTCTGCAGCCTCTCTGCAGCCTCTCTGCAGTCTGTCTGCAGCCTCTCTGCAGTCTGTCTGCAGTCTGTCTGCAGTCTGTCTGCAGCCTCTCTGCAGCCTCTCTGCAGTCTGTCTGCAGTCTGTCTGCAGCCTCTCTGCAGCCTCTCTGCAGTCTGTCTCATGATGCTTTACTCTGATCTGAACCTCTGTGGAGCTTCATCCTGATCCACAGAACACACCGGGGCAGACGGAGGATAATTACTCTCAGGCTGCATATCTCCACTGTAGCTGCTGAGCTCATGGTGATAGAGAGACTTGGATCTTGATTCCCTGCTCAGGTAAATGTGAACATGTTTTCTGTGTCTCTCCAGATGTGGACGTGGATAAGCCGGATGAGAAGTCCATCATGACGTACGTGGCTCAGTTCCTCAAACATTACCCCAACCCTGGGCACTCTGAGGCGGACGGCCAGCAGGACGAGGTGATTTTATTATGGCAACATTTAGAGTAAAGTGATTATAAAGAAATATTTGAAACTGTTGTCACACGAGTAGTTCAAGGACAGTTGAACATCTGAACAGGAATTTCTGTTTCTGTAGTTTCTCGCTGTAATAAATTGTGTAATTGTGATGATTGGAAAAAGAAAAGAACATGCATTTCAAATGTTCCTGTGAGTTACGGCTTAGAGGGTTAGGGTGGTTGCTTTCTATATTTAACAAAGTTAAATCATCACCCTTTATTTAACGAGATTCAACGAGATCAACGGTCTCTACGTCTGGTTTTCTGCTGCTGTTTTTATACTTTATCTCATAAATCACAATCATCATAGCGTGATCTCAGCAGTGAAATCATCACATCATGATCTCAGCAGTGAAATCATCACATCATGATCTCAGCGGTGAAATCACAACATCATGATCTCAGCTGTGAAATCATCACGTCATGATCTCAGCTGTGTAATCACAACATCATGATCTCAGCAGTGAAATCACAACATCATGATCTCAGCAGTGAAATCATCACATCATGATCTCAGCAGTGAAATCATCACATCATGATCTCAGCAGTGAAATCATCACCTCATGATCTCAGCGGTGAAATCATCACGTCATGATCTCAGCAGTGAAATCATCCCCTCATGATCTCAGCAGTGAAATCATCACATCATGATCTCAGCAGTGAAATCATCACGTCATGATCTCAGCAGTAAAATCCTCACATCATGATCTCAGCAGTGAAATCACAACATCATGATCTCAGCAGTGAAATCATCACGTCATGATCTCAGCAGTGAAATCCTCACATCATGATCTCAGCAGTAAAATCACAACATCATGATCTCAGCAGTGAAATCACAACATCATGATCTCAGCAATGAAATCACAACATCATGATCTCAGCAGTGAAATCATCACATCATGATCTCGGCAGTGAAATCCTCACATCATGATCTAGGCAGTGAAATCATCACATCATGATCTCGGCAGTGAAATCCTCACATGATCTCGGCAGTGAAATCCTCACATCATGATCTCGGCGGTGAAATCCTCACATCATGATCTTGGCGGTGAAATCCTCACATCATGATCTCGGCGGTGAAATCACAACATCATGATCTCGGCGGTGAAATCATCACCTCATGATCTCAGCGGTGAAATCATCACGTCATGATCTCAGCAGTGAAATCCTCACATCATGATCTAGGCAGTGAAATCATCACATCATGATCTCGGCAGTGAAATCCTCACATCATGATCTAGGCAGTGAAATCATCACATCATGATCTCGGCAGTGAAATCCTCACATGATCTCGGCAGTGAAATCCTCACATGATCTCGGCGGTGAAATCCTCACATCATGATCTCGGCGGTGAAATCCTCACATCATGATCTCGGCGGTGAAATCCTCACATCATGATCTCGGCGGTGAAATCACAACATCATGATCTCGGCGGTGAAATCATCACCTCATGATCTCAGCGGTGAAATCATCACGTCATGATCTCAGCAGTGAAATCATCCCCTCATGATCTCAGCGGTGAAATCATCACGTCATGATCTCAGCAGTAAAATCCTCACATCATGATCTCAGCAGTGAAATCACATCATGATCTCAGCAGTGAAATCACAACATCATGATCTCAGCAGTGAAATCATCACGTCATGATCTCAGCAGTGAAATCCTCACATCATGATCTCAGCAGTGAAATCACAACATCATGATCTCAGCAGTGAAATCACAACATCATGATCTCAGCAGTGAAATCACCACATCATGATCTCAGCAGTGAAATCACCACATCATGATCTCAACAGTGAAATCCTCACATCATGATCTCGGCAGTGAAATCATCACATCATGATCTCGGCAGTGAAATCATCACATCATGATCTCGGCAGTGAAATCCTCACATCATGATCTCGGCAGTGAAATCCTCACATCATGATCTCGGCAGTGAAATCCTCACATCATGATCTCGGCAGTGAAATCACAACATCATGATCTCGGCAGTGAAATCATCACGTCATGATCTCGGCAGTGAAATCCTCACATCATGATCTCGGCAGTGAAATCACAACATCATGATCTCGGCAGTGAAATCATCACATCATGATCTCGGCAGTGAAATCCTCACATCATGATCTCGGCAGTGAAATCATCACATCATGATCTCGGCAGTGAAATCATCACATCATGATCTCGGCAGTGAAATCATCACATCATGATCTCAGCAGTGAAAGCATCACATCATGATCTCAGCAGTGAAATCATCACCATGTAGTTTTTCATCATGGTTTAATTTCTCCATCACTTTTATTTTGTTGCACATGAAGCTGCTTCTGGGCTCTATCCCCACCTTCCCTCTGTCAGAGAGGGTTCTGCAGGTAAGAGGGTCACACTGCATGCTCCTCTTCCTCCTCTTCCTCTTCCTCCTCTTCCTCTTCCTCCTCTCTTCTCTAACGCTTCTCTGTCTGCTTCTTCCTGGATAGTTCTGTCCTGGAGATATAGAGCAAATGCTCGAGGTATGTCTCTCTGAATTAACAAACTAAGTGTTTTTATGAAGACCCTTTCTTCCCCTTCCTCCTCTTCCTCCTCCTCCTCCTCCTCCTCCTCCTCCTCCTCCTGTTTGCATGCTTATTAAAAAGTGAATGAACCTAGTGGAAGCTGCACGTCCCCTCATACTGTCTGAACATAGCTTGTGTGAAAGCTGCAGCAGTTTGATCTGGCCAGTCATTCAGACGCATGCAGTTTGGACTTTTGGACTTTGTTAAAGCTGCAAGAAATGAATGAAATGAAAGTTATATTCTCTCTTTTTAATATGAATGTATGAAAGACGGATTGCATATTATTTAGAGGTTGCTGGAGCAGCCACGCAATGTTTCCCAAATGTATTCAAATAACGTCAGAGTGCTGTGAGTCTCTGGACTCGTCTGCACCTTCAATTCATAAAAGATCCCCGTGTCCTATGTACCAGCCAGCGTTTATACACACAGTCATAAAGAGATGTCTGCTGGGTTAGAAAGTGTTAATAGTGTTTCCTGTTGACAGCGAGAGGAGCGTAAGATGCTCAGAGAGCTGAAGGTGTTCCTGGACCAGCTGGAGAGAGAGGTGCTGCGGGCGCAAGGCAGCGAGGGGAACCTCACCGACAAGTACCAGGTCAGATACATCACATATTATATATAATATACATGTTTACATCATATATACATCATACAGCACGAGGGGAGCCTCACTGATAAGTACCAGGTCAGATACATCACATATTTCTCAAATAGGTAACTTAACAGAACAGCTTTAAGTTAAATAAAGACTATTTTTAGATGAATTTGAACATAAATACAATGCATTACGTTTGACTCTGTTTCTGTTTTCCTGTTCCAGGAGTTTAAGAGTTTCAGAGTGCAGTTTGAGATGAAGAGGAAGCAGAGCGAGCCGCTGCTGCAGCCAATCAGCAGAGAGGGGAAGCTCTCTGTGGACCAGGCTCTCCTGAAGCAGGCCTGGGAGAGGGTCTCTGCACGGGTACTTATACACACATACTGTATATATATATATATATATATATATATATATATATATATTATAATAACACAACCACAGACACCACTGGGGCCGTTCTGGTTATTAAAAAGGCTGCAGCTAATGATTATTGTTATTAATTGTTCAAGTGCCTTCTGATGTTTTAAAACCATAAATCCATTGCTATTATTCCACAAGTGATTGCAGCTCTAATATCTTTATACAATAATTATATTTTCTGTTAGTTTGTGGTCGTTAGGCTTTCTTTGTCTGAGTAGGATGGAGCGAGAGTGTGTGGGAGGGAAGGAGATTATCTCTGCTGTGTATCTTACTGTGTGTGTGTTGCTGTGTATCATGTGTAATAAACGTGTGTGTGTGTGTGTGTGTGTGTGTGTGTGTGTGTGTAGCTGGTGGAGTGGCACCTGCACCTGGACCAGTCCCTGCCGGGCCCCCTGGGGGGGGTCGGGGCGTGGTTGCATCGAGCGGAGACGATCCTCCGAGAGGACGTCTCTCTGAAGAACCAGCCGGAGGACACGGCCAACGAGCTGCACCGGAAACTGGACCAGCACAAGGTGGGGGGGCATCACTTACTCAACTTTTTACTTTTTTAATTACTGCTTTCCCTCCTGCATTTTTTGTATATTTATATTTATATTATGTATATTTATTGTAATTATGACATTTTAAAATAGTTTCCAATCTTTTTTTGTTGCATATTTCTGTTACATTCTACCTCTAGACCAGGGATGAGCAACTTGGATGGTGGTGGGGCCACATAATTGATGTACTGGCCACCAGGGGGCCGCAGATTCACTTGGAACACACACACACACACAAATTCCATGTATTGTATGTAGGGCTGTCAAGTTAACGCGTTAACGCACATTTTTTTTAACGCCACTATTTATTTTAACGTGCGATTAACGCATATGTATTTGTCCTCGGCCCGCCCCGTAGTTTCAGAGCCCAAAGGCTTGACGTTGTTGTTGTTGTTAGTTGGATGATGGGAGATTCTAGCGAGAGATATGGATACAAAAAAAGGTGTTTTAAACAGCAAGCCAAGCACACAGCTGATGCTGACAGCCCCGCTCCTGCCGTTTGCTTGCGGCAGACCACGCTTGAAAGTTTGCCGGGGAGACGCCTGGACACATCTACGAGCAGCAAGCTTTCAACAGCGATAGCTAAATGGGTGGCTACAGCTTAACATTGTGGAGGACGAGGGGCTGTTAGATAATGAATACATTATTTTATTTTAGTTTTCCGCAGTCTCGCGGGAATATCTGTGCAATGGAGCGAGCTTAAATTTCACTTTCGATTGCATGATATAGCCCAGCGCAACACCTTCGTCACACATGTTGCCATTTGTTTGTACCATTTTCAGGCGATTTGTAATCTGTTCTAGAAAAACGATCTGTTTTTTAGGATTTCAAGAAGCATATAGAACAAACAATGGATGTCTTTGATGAACATGTATCCATGCTGAAAGTAGATTTTGATGTTTTAGGAGTGAGATAGAGATTATTATCTAATATATGCATCCGATGAAGCATTGCATGAAGTCTGTTGCTGATCAGAGGCTGTTGTTGGGGCAGACCATGCAGGTCAGCCCGATGGTCACCAAGGTTCATGTTTTAATAGCATTTTTACAAAAAAAGCCCAGGCGAGCCTAACATGTGAAAAAAGGGCTTAGACCTCAGAGAGTTCAACTTGGGCCTGCGACCACAGTTTCCTGTATTTTGTTTTGAAAATCCACAGCGGAGGTTTGTGTCGTACTACAGGCGGTGTATTTTGCATTTCTCTCAGTAGCCAACAATCTGTCAGTCTGTTGGCTCGGACATAAACTCTGTAATAAATGTAGTCTACATTTCATAAGAGGTGTAAAACCTGAGCATTTTAAATCTTATTTGAACTAAATCCTGATATAATCTGTAGTTGTATTTGTATTGTTGATTTAATGTGTGAACGAGGCGATGTAGAGAAGGTTAAGCTGTCATTATTAGGCTGTAATTTGTTATAAACTGTTGGAGTGGTGAGCAGGCCTATTGTTTCTGGATATGTGTGGAGTCAGGTGGTCCGTGAGTGTTTTTTATTGGTTAAGTGTCCTTGGTATGAAAAAGTTTGAGAAACACTGCGCTAGTGGATTGTCAATGGGGGGAGCCTCGCTGCGGGGAAATTCTACAGATGGCCAGTCCGCCCCTCAAAAATGTCTATGCACACGTTATTATTAATAATAAAAAAATAAAAATGGATAAAAGAAAATTCAAAACAAAGAATTATTTTAAATTTTAAATTTAAATTTTGTAATCATCTCGCGACCCCCATTCGGGTTCCCGCGACCCCCCGGGGGGAACCCCTGCTCTAAGGTACATTTAGAACAGATAAAAATTGTGCGATCAATTTGCTATTAATCGCGATTAACTATTTGAATCGACTGACAGCCCTAATTGTATGTAATTATTAACTATCTGACATTTTTCAATCTTTCAGGGAACATCCTCTAATAAGCTCACTAAACAAATATCAGTTCACAGAAATGTTATAAGTAAGCATGTTTGTATTGAACAGGTTATTTAACAGTGGAATACAATTATTTTAAACTTTTGGAAAGCACCGAAAATGTGTGTGCATTGAGATGAACCATTAAGATGACATAAACATGAAGTCATGAACACTAACCCAGACATTAGTCGTCTAACTTGAACCTAAGACACTTGTAGCCTCTGCTGACGCACAATAAGGGGAGTGTCCACACAGACACCTGATCTGCTGATTTATTGTGTAATTTAAATCTTTATTGTCACATTGTACATGGCATTAACATACTGGTTACAACAACATAACAATCATGTAACAAAAGGCCAGCAAGGCAATACAAAATAAAAATGAAATAAAAGGCTAGGGATGTTCATGTTGTTATATTCGTGATGATACATGTATTTATTAGCTATTGTTCCAGTCTAATGTCTTTGTTTTGAGTCTTGTATAGAGTCCATTCTTCCCACTTTCTGTTGAGTTATGTTTCAGTTTTTCCATCAAAAAGATTTCCTCCATAATTGTTACCCATTGGTTTTTCGTTGGCGGTGCTTCCTTACCACAATTTCCTAGTGATAGCTTTCTTGCTGGATATTAGCAGAATTTAGATCAGATATCTGTCCCTTGCACTCATTTCCTCATAAATGAATTTACATAAATAGAGTACCAAACTACTTTTAGAAACCTCTTACCCAATTCTTTGACGTATTTCCTTACATATCATTTCCCAAAATACAATTATTTTCTGACATATGAGAATGTTCAGCATCATAAGAACCACATTCTCGCACCAATGGTGGTTTTATTGTGTGCTGTTCTCCTGCAGGAGGTGCTGAAGAACCTGGAGAACCACAGGCAGCCGTTCCTGCAGATCCACAGAGACGGAGCCGTGAACGGGGTCCCCGTCCCCCCCGAGCAGCTGCAGGACCTGGCAGAGCGGTGATTATTATTACTTATTCAGAGGAACATGTATCACTGCATCAAAATGTGAAAACGCCTATATCTGTCTGTCAGATATTCATCATGTGAGCCACTTTGCTGTGGTTATTTTGCACATTTCAGTTCAAGTCTACCTCTTATAAATATGCATAGACTTCACATTTTGCTTTTTTAATTTCAGCATTTCCCCATCACATTTTTGTATATTTATGTTTATTGAATTTTGCATTTATTTTGCAATATTTCTTTATTTCTTTTACAACTTAATCCCTTTTTAAATAATTCTGATTCTGATGAATTATTCCTAATATTTAGCATAGTTTTGCCTGCAGCTTATATTCAGAGTCATCCCCCTGGTGACTGCACCGTATCTTAATAACACATCATCTACCCGTGGTTCTTCTCAGGTGAAATCAGCATTAAATGATTTTAAACCCGTCTCTCTGCAGGTTTAACTTGGTGTCCTCGTCCTCTCACGCTCACCTGATCCGCCTGGAGTTCTGGGAGATGAAGTACCGTCTGATGGCATTCCTGATGCTCGCCGAGTCCAAACTGAAGTCCTGGATCATTAAATACGGCCGAAGAGACTCTGTGGAGCTGCTGCTGCAGACCTACCTGGTGAAGGGGGGGGTTACTTTGGGTCAAATAATCAAGTTATAGTGAAAATGTTCAACATAAACTCATGTTTTAAAGGTCACCTATCATGCTATGTTTAGGCAACAGCATAGGTCTCAGATATATAAAAATATATAAAAAACATGTCTATGAAGTGTTTTGCTCCAAATACCAAACAGATCACCCATTCTAGCCATGCCTCATATCCCTCCATTTCACTTCCTGTTTCTAAAGTGCTGATTTGGGGTATAAAGCTTTATAAAATAAAAAGGAGGGGTCTGAGCTCATGGGGGACCCGGCAGCTACTGTCTAAACTAAATGCTGCCGTGATGAAACGCCATATCATGGATTATCAAGGATTCTCTCTGAAACAGTATGGAGCTCAAAGGCTTTCTCTCTTGCCGGTTATACCACAAGGTGAGTTCCTTTTTATTTCCTGCTTCTTCACACACATGCTCTCCAGTACAGGTTAGCTCTGAGTGTTAGCGATGCTAATGTAAACACCGACCATATTACGTCCAAAACAGTCGGGGCATTGTTTCTGATAGCAACGTTTCTGATAGGGCCGTGGGTCCACATTTCAGATATTACGTCATATCGGACGCAAATCTGGATCAGCTCCGTTGTTCCCCCGTTTTTAGAGATTTGGGTACGGAGGAAAAGAGAGAGGGTTTTATTTTCTGACGCTGCGTGAGTTCCCTGACACACCGGGGATGTAGAGAAGACATCAGATAGGGACTTTTGCATGATAGGAGACCTTTAAGCAAAAATGTGCAATAAAAGTAAAAATAATTAATAGATAAATAGAAGAAGTTAAAGTGAAAATGTAAAAAGATAAGAAAGAATGGACTTCTAGGTAACTCTGTAAATGATAATATCTTAATCTCTTTGATTCTCATGCAGACGTTTGTGGAAGGCCAGCGGTTCTTCGATCAGTACGAGATGATCTACTCGGACCTGAAACGATCTGCGGAGGTTTACATCAAGTCTGACAGCGCAGGTGAGTCCTCCATCACCTGTCTGTAGGATCAACTATGGAAGCCCAGGAGGGACTTTTTAAACTTACAAATGTAAATCCACAATAGCATCATGATTTTACAAACATGTTTTCTGTATGGAAAAATGTGCAATAATTACATTTGCATTTACATTTTCACATACTCGTAAAGGCTTTAGAAAATGTTCTTCATTGACTGAAATATTGTTTGCATGAATTGGAAGTGTTGTTAGTATTTCATTTTTATTTTAACATTTGATTCAACATTTGAATATTGTGCACTGTGCACCATTGGAAATATATATTTATTTTTTCATGTTCGTTTTTAATTTTTTTATCATTAATTATTATTTTCTTTATTTTTTTAAATAACGTTTTAATATTTTCTTGACATTGTTATTATTATCATTATTATTTAAAAATTATCTTTTTTAATTTGATCTCAGATAACACGTCAATAAGTGAAACTTAATGACGCTTTTGTGGAAATATATATTTTCACTTTAATATAGTCTAAGGTTATAAAGGTCCCCGTGCGCTTCCATCATGTTTCATATGTATCATAGACTGTATATATAAAGGTATATATGTAATGTTTATCTTGTGCAGAGTGTAAACAGTGTTATTGATTTCCTGATGCAGGGTCTCAGACCTGTAACAGAGGTGAGTCTGACCCCTGACCTCTGACCCCTGACCTCTGCCTGTCTCTGCTCCTCCTTTAACAATCTTTAATCAACTCACCTGAACCAATCACTGCACTCTGCATGAAGACTAATGAGAATGATATTAAAGCCCCTCCCCCCTCCCTGAGAGCCCCTCCCCCCCCTGAGAGACCCTCCCCCTCCTGAAAGCCCCTCCCCCATCCTGCAGCCTCCAGAACAGGATCAGAGCAGGGCTGCAATGTTTAGTTTTGAAACGGAGCTTAGAAAGTCTGACGTCAAGATTTTACTCTTTTTGGAAATAAGAAAATCGATATATATTTTTTAAATGTAACTTGTGGACTTAACGCTCGATGTCAATAAAAACAAAAAACATCCTGAGAAATCAGGATGAATAAAAGTTTTCTGATATTTGCTCCATTTCAAATAATTACAATTATATCAAATTAAATAGATTGTTTTTGTTGAAATGTTCAATAAACAGATACAAAATAACAGACAATTTCTTTTTATAAACACAAGATATTTAAGCAAGCAAACATTAGCAATAAAAGTTAAAATAATAAATAAATAAATATAAGAAGTAAAAATGTTAAATAAATACCTCATATTTTTACAAACGTCATCAATACACATACAAATAAATATTTAAAATGTGTTATTAATAAAGCCTCAGTGTGTTCGGTACAGCCCTGATCCAGATCTGTTTTCCTCATGAACTTGTTGTTTTTATCTGATATATATATATATTTATATCTATGTGTTCCAGTGGAGGAGGCAGAGAGCGTCAGTAAGCTGCTCTGTGACGCCTCCTCTCAGTGGAGGAACCTGGCTCTGGAGGTGCGCAGCGTGAGGAGCATGCTGGAGGAGGTGCTCTCTAACTGGGAGAAGTACGGCGGCACCGTGGCCTCCCTGCAGGCCTGGCTGGAGGATGCCGAGAGCATGCTGAACCAGAGCGAGGGGGGCAAGCGCGTGAGTGGAGAATACTCTATTATTATTACTACAAACTCTGAATAAATCACAGGAGATACCAGAAACCAGAACGAGAGCATCAGGAGCGTGAGTGGAGAATAAACGTATAATTATTAACAAAAAGTCTGGATGAATCATAGAATATACTGACCATTAGCCAGGCCTCGCAGTGTAGACACACACCGAAGATAGGGATGTATAATCATTACAACTCTGAATAAACCACAGAATATAATAACCATGCAGAAACACTGAAGACATCATTCTATCAATACAAACTGTCCCTGACGATGACCTGGGGGCACTTCACTGATTATAAAGAAGCTGATATGTATGATGTATCCTTTGAATGCCTTTCCCCTTCCTCAGGACTTCTTCAGGAACCTGTCTCACTGGATGCAGCAGCACACGGACATGAACGATGCCGGGAACTTCTTGATCGAGACGTGTGACGAGTCCGTGTCTCGAGACCTGAAGCAACAGCTGCTGCTGCTCAATGGGAGGTGGAGGGAGCTCTTCGTCAAGGTCAAACATGTAGGTTTCACCTGTTTCACCTGTTTCACCTGCACGCACCTGTTTCACCTGTTTCACCTGTTTCACCTGCACTCACCTGTTTCACCTGTTTCACCTGTTTCAGAGTCGAGTAGAGTCTCTAACCATCTGACTCTCAGCTCTTTACCTGTAGAGTCTCTAACCATCTGACTCTCAGCTCTTTACCTGTAGAGTCTCTAACCATCTGATCTCAGCTCTTTACCTGTAGAGTCTCTAACCATCTGATCTCAGCTCTTTACCTGTAGAGTCTCTAACCATCTGACTCTCATCTCTTTACCTGTAGAGTCTCTAACCATCTGACTCTCATCTCTTTACCTGTAGAGTCTCTAACCATCTGACTCTCAGCTCTTTACCTGTAGAGTCACTAACCATCTGACTCTCATCTCTTTACCTGTAGAGTCTCTAACCATCTGACTCTCATCTCTTTACCTGTAGAGTCTCTAACCATCTGATCTCAGCTCTTTACCTGTAGAGTCTCTAACCATCTGACTCTCATCTCTTTACCTGTAGAGTCTCTAACCATCTGACTCTCAGCTCTTTACCTGTAGAGTCTCTAACCATCTGATCTCAGCTCTTTACCTGTAGAGTCTCTAACCATCTGACTCTCAGCTCTTTACCTGTAGAGTCTCTAACCATCTGACTCTCAGCTCTTTACCTGAAGAGTCACTAACCATCTGACTCTCAGCTCTTTACCTGTAGAGTCTCTTATACGTGCTCCAACACTCTGTGAAGCTGCAGCTGAGACGCAGCTCCAATGAGTTGGGCCGACCTGTTTTTATTTTTTAAACAATATGTTTATTCATTTTTCATTCTTTTAAACAACATAGTTACAAGACACGCCATACCTTACACAAACTTACATAAAACATTTGAGAAACAGAGGCAAAGACAAGACGGGACATAATGAAATAAATAAATAATTGAAATGTATAATAAAAATAAAAGACATTAAATGAAATAACATTATTATTATTAACATTATCCTAACAAGTCACAGCAGTTTAGGAATGTCTTTACTTTTCCTTCCAACCAGATCCTCTCATGGATTCTCTTTGTTGTTTCTTAGACACATTAACGTTCCCTCACAGCTGAGTAAACGGGCCCCAAACTATCAAAGGGACGTAAGTTATTATAAAGTATATCAATGCTGCTCTTCTTCCTGTCAGTACGCCCGAGCAGACGAGGTGGATAAGCTGCGTCAGGACTACCAGGACGGGATCAACACTCTGAAGATCTTCATGGACAACACCAACCAGAAGATGATGGCCAACGTTCAGGTCTCCTTCCTCAACGTCAGAGCCTTCGTCCAGGACATGGAGGTCAGACACTGCTCCTCTTCCTCAATCTCAATCTTTAGTTATTTACTGTAGTCAACACGGTATAAAAGACTACAATTCCCACGAAGCCTTCTCTAAAGTGACAGAGACCTGTCAGAAAGAAGCCGTCGAGGGACAGTTTTTAACCCACTAAGTTACAGTGTATATCATCCTCTGTGTGTGTGTGTGTGTGTGTGTGTGTGTGCCTGTGTGTGTGCCTGTGTGTGTGCCTGTGTGTGTGTGTGTGTGTGTGTGTGTGTGTGTGTGTGTGTGTGTGTGTGTGTGTGTGTGTGTGTGTGTGTGTGTGTGTGTGTGTGTGTGTGTGTGTATGTGTATGTGTGTGTGTGTGTGTGTGTGCAGGAGGTGAAGCAGAAGGTGCCTGCGATGGAGGCGGCCTGTAAGGCAGCGAGCCGCACCGCCCAGCTGCTCAGCAAAGACTCTCCTCAGGACGAGACGTTGGCCATGACGGAGCTGATGGGGTCCGTCAGGGAGCAGCTGGCCAAGGTCTTTATCAGGATCAATACTTACTATCAGGATCAATACTTACTATCAGGATCAGTACTTACTATCAGGATCAGTACTTACTATCAGGATCAGTACTTACTATCAGGATCAGTACTTACTATCAGGATCAGTACTTACTATCAGTGTCAATACAGGAAGTTAGACTGAGATACGATAGACAATAGGATAACACTTTACTGATCAGATGAAGTCTGAGATGCTCCTTGCATCCCAGCAGCTCCATGTGTAACATCACAGCAGGATCAGTGAGAGCTGCTCAAAGAGCCTTCAGCGTGATCTGATCTGTAGCTCTGTGTTCACTGAGAGGGCTGGAGCACAGAGGATGCTTCAGGCTGACTGGAGCACAGAGGATGCTTCAGGCTGACTTTAGTGGTCACTGTGTTAGATTAAACATATGTAACATGTGATCTTAAAGGTGAGGGAGCGGTCCCTGCCCCTCTTGAGGGAGTCCCAGTCCCTGCTGCCCCCCCTGGAGGAGATGGAGAGGAACATCTCAGGTTTCTACCAGGCTCTGGAGAAGGCCAGTCACATCACAGGGACCCCCAGCCCGGAGGGGGGGGACTTCAAGATCAAGTGCCAGGTAAACAACTACAGGAGGTTAAGAGGAGATTCACTCAGACAACACTCTGGGAAAAGAGTTAGAGTTCTGAGAAATGACCAAAAAAAAAAGAAAATCTGAATAAGTCAACGTAAAAAAAAAAGTTAGAATTCTGAAAAAAACCTCAAAATTATTTAAAAAAAAGGCAAAATATTGAAAAATATAAACATTTGGAGAATAACATTAGAATTCTGAAAAAAGTCAACATTAAAGAAAAGGTTTCAATATTATTAGAAAAAACTCAAAATGTCAAAAATAAAGAAAAGTTAGAATTCTGAGAAAAAAAAATATATATTTTGAAATGTTTTTACCAGATAATGTCAAATTTCTGAGAGACATTTCAACATTTTGAAAAATGTACAAAATGTTAAGAATAACGTTAGAATTCTGAAAAATGTCAAAATTCAAAACAATTCTGAAAATGATGAGAAAAAAACAAAAATGATGAGAAATGTCTGAACTGAGACAAAAGTCCAAATTCTGAATTTGACAAAAAAGTTTCGCAGACTTCTAAAATCTCACAACAAAAAAATTAATTCTGTCTTGATCAGATCTCAAAAACGTTTTCACATGTCCCTGATCCTCTTCCGTGTAAATAAATACTGTACTATATATAAAGCATAGAAATGAATAATTCTAGCAGAGTTTTTGGTGAAGCTGATGATTTTTCTGCTTCTTTATATAATGAATCTGATGCTGTTCTGCAGGAGCTGGTGACCTTCACTCACAGCTGTAAGAAGTGTCTGACCAACATCGAGAGGAACCACCAGAACATCCAGAAGATTCTGAGCAGCAGCAGCACCTTGGAGCACCTGGACCTGAACCTGCTGCAGAAGAGAGTGGCCGACCTGCAGGCCTCCTCCCAGGTACTTCCTGTTTACCTGTTTATACTCACTTCCTGTTTACCTGTTCAGGTGACCTGTCTATACTCAGGTACACAACTTCCTGTTTACCTGTTCAGGTAACCTGTCTATACTCCGGTACAAATTCGGAAAACATCAACATTTCTGCGAGGAAAGTCAACATTTCGAGAAAAAAGTTAGAATTAAAATTCCGACTAACCTGTAGGTACGTTAACGTCCAGGTGACCTGTCTATACTCAGGTACGTTAACGTCCAGGTGACCTGTCTATACTCAGGTACGTTAACGTCCAGATGACCTGTTTATACTCAGGTACGTTAACGTCCAGGTGACCTGTCTATACTCAGGTACGTTAACATCCAGGTGACCTGTCTATACTCAGGTACGTTAACGTCCAGGTGACCTGTCTATACTCAGGTACGTTAACGTCCAGGTGACCTGTCTATACTCAGGTACGTTAACGTCCAGGTGACCTGTCTATACTCAGGTACGTTAACGTCCAGGTGACCTGTTTATACTCAGGTACGTTAACGTCCAGGTGACCTGTTTATACTCAGGTACGTTAACGTCCAGGTGACCTGTCTATACTCAGGTACGTTAACGTCCAGGTGACCTGTTTATACTCAGAGAGCTGACATCCAGGTTATTTTCAAATAAATGTAAATTCTGAAAAAAGTCAGAATTCTGAAGACATTTTTTAAAATTCCGACTGACCTGTTATACTCAGGTACGCTGACCTCCAGGTGACCTGTTATACTCAGGTACGCTGACCTCCAGGTGACCTGTTTATATTCTAATGACTAATGAATAAAGGCTCTCTGTGTGCAGGTGATGATCAAGGAGTCTACAGAGTGGAGGAAGCACGAGGAGGCGAACAGCTGTCTGATGAAGAGGTTTGAAGAGTCCCGCATGGAGCTGGAGAAAGTCCTGAAGACGGCTCAGAGCTGTCTGACTGAGAGAGGAGAGCCAGAGGAGCTGCTGAGGAAACACACGGTGAGAACAGAGAAATCAATATGTGCATCCAGAACCATTCTGCAGACACAAACAGACACAGTTAGTCAAATAAACTCTTCGATTTTGGAGGTTTTCTTTCACTAGTTTCAAAGAAGACTGTCAGATTGTAGCAGTGCATGAAAGCATTCTGCTGAGAGGAGACCTTTAAAGATCTTGCTAAATTCATAGAGGTTGTACACACTGCAGGTGTAGATATATAACTTCCCCACTTCCTTACTGACATTACGGTGCGTCCACACAGCAGCGTTAAAAAATCTTGGAGGTGGGCGTATCTGAAGCTTGGGGATTCTTTGCGAGCAACGCGACCAACAACCAATCACATGAATCTCCCGCCCCCGACATACAAAGCAAAAAAGCCCGAAGTAAACTGGATATAAACTCCCCAAACAGGCGAAAACCTACCACTGTCTCTGCCACCTCCCTCCATGCCTGGCTCCTCCGGTTTGTATCCCGGTAGGTAAATAGCGACTGGTCATAAAGCACCGGGTGATTCCCTACCGCTAATTTCTCCTCCATGTTTTGGAATATGAGGAAATGACCTGCGGTATGTCTCTCCCAGCATACACGCGGTTTGATTGGCTAGCGCTTGAACTGTCAGATTTGCATACACAGGATTTGATTGGCTGACGCTTCCACCTCAGCTTCAAAAGTTGAACATTGCTCAACTTTTGAAGCCTGAGATGCCTGGAAATCTCCGCTCTGCTTCCCACAATGCAGTTCGGCGAAAAGTGAGGCAAAGTGACGTCACCCCATTCAAAGTGAATGGGCAGAAGCGTTGGAAGATTTTTTTAACGCTGCTGTGTGGACGGGCCGCACAATAATTTCTTATATTACAAGTTTCTTGAATTTAGGAGAAATCTGCAGACACAAACAGACACAGTTAGTCAAATAAACTCCTGGATGTGGATTATCTTCCAGTAGTCTGAAAGAAGTCTGAAGTTGAGCAGTGCATGAACACCTGAGTGTGATCCCAGATGATGAGGAGGATATTAAAGTGTGTGTGTCTGCAGGAGTTCCTGGGGTCAGCTGGACCAGCGCGTCCTGAACTCCTTCCTGAAGGCGTGTGACGAGCTGACGGACATCCTGCCTCAGCTGGAGCAGCAGGATCTGCAGGAGACGGTCCGACGGCTTCACAAACACTGGAAGGTAAAGACTCACAAAGTGTCAGGAAATAAACCCCTCTCTCTTTTCCTCCGTACCCACATCTCTAAAAACGGGGGAACAACGGAGCTGATCCAGATTTGCTGCATCATGACCACATTACTAAAATGTGGGCGGGCTTTACATCCACGGGCCATTCAGAAACGTTACTGTCAGAAACAATGAGACGTGTTCTGGAAGTAATACGGTCTGTGTTCACATTAGCATGCTAACACTCAGAGCTAACCTGTACTGGAGAGAGTGGGTGTGAAGAAGCAGGAAATCAAAAGGAACTCACCTTGTGGTAAACCTGAGAGAGAGAAAGAGTTTGAGCTCCATACTGTTTCAGAGAGAATCCTTGATGTGGTTTGGAACATGATATGGAGTTTCAGAGAGAATCCTTGATGTGGTTTGGAACATGATATGGGGTTTCATCACGGCAGCATTTAGCTGAGTTTCTGCTGGGAGAGTTCTCCTGATGAGATCTACTCTCTCTCTAAAGCTACTGACCCAGAGTCAGCTCTTTAGTAACAGCTGGAAGAGAGAGAGGGGGGGGGGGCTACAAGGATCTGTTTGGGGTTTGGAGCAGGACACTTCAGAGACATGTCCTTAGTAACAGCTGGAAGAGAGGGGGGGGGGCTACAAGGATCTGTTTGGGGTTTGGAGCAGGACACTTCAGAGACATGTCCTTAGTAACAGCTGGAAGAGAGGGGGGGGGCTACAAGGATCTGTTTGGGGTTTGGAGCAGGACACTTCAGAGACATGTCCTTAGTAACAGCTGGAAGAGAGGGGGGGGGGGGCTACAAGGATCTGTTTGGGGTTTGGAGCAGGACACTTCAGAGACATGTCCTTATATCTGTATATATCTGAGACCTCTAATATCAGCCTAACAATAGTACAATAGGAGCCCTTTAATGCATCATACAGTGAAAGGTAAGGTAAGTTTATTTATAAAGCACATTTTCAGACACAGAGTGCTTTACATCATCATCATCACCAAGAAGACAACCGAAAGGAACCCAGTAAATAAACACAATGCAATAACAGATTTAAAACATGCATAACAGAGACACAGAATAGTTTAAAAACAACATTGTAAATACAGTAGATGCTAAAACAAGTTAAAAGGCTTCTGGGTAAGCAGCTGAAAAAAGAAGTCAGCGTGGGTGAAGACTCAGGTTTTCTGGAAGTTCCATTTGTGGGGAGCTTAAAGACTAAAAGCAGCTTCGGTGTGTTTTGTTCTGATCCGAGGACAACGGGTAAGACTGAATGTCTCTCTGCAGGACGTCCAGACGGAGACTCCTCTGCACCTGCTGCGTCTGAAGGTGCACGTTGAGAAGAAGCAGCTGGAGGTTCTGATGCAGGACTCTGAGGCCGAGCTGACCCGAGAGAACAGACACCTGACAGGCATGGGGAGTGAGAGGCTGGTCCGAGAGCACCGGGTGAGAGGAGGGGCACAACAATCATTAACAGCTGTTTCCATCTTTTAAATGTGTTATTTCCAAGAAATTCATGAGCAGGTTGTCATAGATATCTGAAACCTTAGACACTCACACAGGTATTATTATATTGTTGTTCAACAGTATAAGAGCCAGACTACTAGCGTCAAGTCCGCCAACAGTAGATGTTTCTGTCTAAAGAATAACAGAATCTCACAGGTTTTATACACTTCTTTTTAGTTTACACAGCACTATACCTTTGGACCTTTTACACATGTTACAAGACCCTATGCTAAATAACACGCTGCAAAGAGACATGTGTACATTCATGGTTCAAAGGTCTCTTTAAAAGAACTAAATGATGAAATTCACTAGCATGACCCACAACACATGATCATATAATATAGATTATTTCAACGTCTCTGGAGAACATGCAGTTTAAAGTGGAGATTTTGCTCGATTCTTTGTGGAAATCAGTTCTACACATCTGTCCACTAAATCAATAAGCAGCCCTGTAGTAGGACTTCAGCTGCTCACCTCAAAGTCAAAAGTCAAAGTCAATCTTTCAGTTTGTGTGCACAGACAGAGATCAAAATACCGTTTCCCACCATCCAGAGGAATACAAAATATAAATATAAGAAAATGTATAAAAACTAAGGTAACTCATTCTGTTTTTATATTGTTCCTCCAGACGTTCTTCCGGGATCAGGGCCCTCTGTCTGTGTGTGAGAAGAGGCTGCAGATGATGGAGGAAACGTGCCTGAAGCTCCCTGAAGGAGACGCTGCTCTGCAGACGCTGGAAGGAGCCAGGAAGGACTTCTGTGATCTGAAGGAGGAAATACAGAGCACGCATCAGAAGCTGCTGCAGCACCAGGACAAGTGGAAGGACTACAGCGCCAGGTAACAGCAGCAATGTGTTGTACTAGGGTTCATTTGAGTTCAGGGAAGCATGGTTGCAGTGGCGATCCTAGAGTCAGTGGGGGCCCTAGGCAAACATTCACTGGGGGCCCCTCGAACCAGCTTTTCATCACCACGCACAACCGGCAGCAGCAACCCCCCCCCCCCCGGAGCGGAGCGGAGAAACGAAACTTAAAGGGGACCTATCATGCAAAATGCACTTGTGTACGTCTTTTCTACATGAATATGTGTCCCCGGTGTTCCAGGGAACTCACCAAGTGTCAGAAAACACAACCCTCTCTATTTTCCTCCATACCCAAATCTCTAAAAAAGGGGCTGCAACGGATCTGATAAAAACTGATCCAGATTTGAACACTGTCCTGACGTCAGGACGGTGGCGCTACGGCTATTGGGCCAACTCCACCAATCAGGAGGAGACAGCCACGGCCATTGCCGTTCGAAAGCGCTGGAGACGCTGTAGTACATATGCCAGGCCAGTAGATGGTGCTGTTCTCACAGAATCAGCCCTTGCTAAAACAGAGCGAGAAAAAGTCAAATTGAGCGAAATGAGGCATGGCTAAAATGCATGATCTGTTTGGTATTTTGAAGAAAAAAAAAGTATAAATATGCCTTATATAGGTATGGTCCTACACTATATTATTCAAATATAGCATGATCGGTCCACTTTAACTTATGAAGCAGCTTTTGACGGCGCGCTATGCATGGGGCCGCCTTGAGGGGGTTTCCAGACATGTCATTGCAGTAAATTAAAGGGGATTTCATGTTGTCGTTGCTGTGGACCTTCTTAATCTACCTTCTTTGGGGGCCCCCTTCTGGTCCGGGGCCCCAAGCAGTTGCCTGCCTTGCCTGTTTGCAAGGTGCGCCCCTGCATGGTTGTTATTGTGCAGCCAAAGAAACAGCTGGGCATGTTTTGGTTCAGAGTCTTAAGTTTCTGTTAGAACACTCTCACTCGTCCCCAGCTTGAGCTTCAATCTCAGGAACCATGTATCTGTGATCCTCTCCAGAATGGAAGTAGTCATCACATACAGAGCATCAACTAGTTCCTGAACAGTGTCCTTCACATGCTAATATCCAAGAGAGGGAGTTACACAGTCACAAGATGGAGGAATAGAAAGCAGTATTCAATGTTTACTTCAGATTAGCTCCACGTCAGAAATGAGCATGCTTGTCATATGTCTATCTCCATAGAGGCTGAATCATCATGTTAATCACATAGCTATCATATGCCTCAAACAGTCCTGATGCTCTTCGAGGTAATCATACATCCTGTCATGTACACAGCTACAGTTGGGATACCTTTGTTAGCATGTCACTCTCATGTTGGAGGAGGACATTCAGGATGTTCCCAACAGTTTCCCCTTAGTTTAGTGCTCAGATCAGGATCAGAAATCCTTTATTCTGGGAATTTGTAGAGACAAAATGCAAAAGTTTAGAAGAGTAATACAATACATAGATGAATAAAACAAGATAGGGAAAGATAAAGTTCATAAAGGAGATAGAAGGTAGTTAAAAACATATGTAAATACAGATGAGGCTGCAACGAGCGCAGAAGGAGAACACTTAAACAAATCTTAAAGTGGACCTATCATGCTATATTTAAATGATATATTGTAGGACCATACCTATATAAGGTATATTTATACGTTTCTGTTTTCAAAATACCAAACAGATCATGCATTTTAGCCATGCCTCATTTCGCTCTATGTGCTGTTTGCTGTCTACGGGTCTGATTCTGCTGACCCCCTGCAGGAGAGGGGAGATGTGCTCTGATCAGCTGCTGGGCTGTCAGAAGAGGGGGAGAAAAAGAGATCTCCGTGTTTTATTATATAGAGTTGTTATTCATTTGTTTTAAAGCTCAATAAATAACAAAGAAGACCTTTGACCGGCACTTTTCTAATTTTGTCCGGAAGATTTAAACTTTAACGGACATCTTGACCGGCGAAAGAAAACTGAAACTCTGCCGCACGGTCCCCTCGTTCCTTGGAAGAGGCGGAGAGGTGGGTGTTTGTCATCTGCTGGTGGACTAACCGGAGAGAATTACAGTGCTTGCCTCGACGGGGAGGGATTGCATTGAATTAAAGCAGCGGGAGCAAACGCTTGCCTCGGGGAGGGAGAAAGAAAGCCACAACGGAGAATAAACAGAAGGGTAACCATGGCAACCAAGTCTTCTTCGCTGCTTTTGTGGCAGACTACAGCGCCACCTACAGGCCTGGCATATGTACTACAGCGTCTCCAGCGCTTTCGAATGGCAATGGCCGTGGCTGTCTCCTCCTGATTGGTGGAGTTGGCCCAATAGCCGTAGCGCCACCGTCCTGACGTCAGGACAGTGTTCAAATCTGGATCAGTTTTTATCAGATCCGTTGCAGCCCCTTTTTTAGAGATTTGGGTATGGAGGAAAATAGAGAGGGTTGTGTTTTCTGACACTTGGTGAGTTCCCTGGAACACCGGGGACACATATTCATGTATAAAAGACGTACACAAGTGCATTTTGCATGATAGGTCCCCTTTAAGATGTTTTGTGCAGATGTATAGTTTTAAGTTGTATTAATTATTCAAATGCTAATTGTCTCTATTTGTGTTGTATGCTCGGGCTTTGGATATTGATGATTCATTAAGTTTCCTGCAGTCCTGCTGGGTTTGATCTGATATGTTGTGGTGCGTTCAGGTACGCAGAGCTGTCCTGCTGGGTTTGATCTGATATGTTGTGGTGCGTTCAGGTACGCAGAGCTGTCCTGCTGGCTGATCTCTAAAGAGAGTCAGCTGAGGCTGCTGAGGAACAGAGCCAGCGACCCCAAGAAGTACGGCCAGGTGAAGACCTCCATCACGGTGAGCTACATCAGGACAGACAGACACTATGTGAAATGTTACACACACACACACACACACACACACACACACACACACACACACACACACACACACACACACACACACACACACACACACACACACACACACACACACACACACACACACACACACACACACACACACACACACACACACACACAGTGTACCCGCGACAGTTACAATGAAGGCTCGATAATTAGCTCATGGCATATAGGTGTAAGCAGGGGTAAAGTGCTATTTTTATAAGTGGGGGGGGGGGTCCTCACCTCCTCCAGGGGGGTCCAGGGCCATGCTCCCCCGGGAAGGTTTTTTTTTTAAATATTGAAGTTAAAAGCATCAATCTGGTGCACTTTGAGAGCAACATGAAGAGATCTATGGATACATCTCTCAACACCCATTTGAAACAGAACTGTAAACAGATTTACTTTTTCTTTATGGATATTTTCCAAATCACCCTTTCAAACTGTATTCTTGTTTTACTGTCATATAGCATTTCAAAGCTGTTTTTCATTTATTCTCTTATTTTTTTATAACTATAATGATCATATAAACGTGTGCACCAGAAGCTAACAACAGCGATCTCCGGTACCGGTGCGCTCTCTCTCTCTCTCTCTCTCTCTCTCGTGCACGCACACAAAATGGCTCGTTCCACACACACACAGAGCCGAGCTTGAATGAAACACAGAGACCCAGACGTACTTGTACTGTAGCATATTATTTTAGAATCAATAATCTTTCAAATTATGTTTTTTCTTTTTTTTTTTCAAAACCATTTTTCCTCCTGGTCTCTCGCGCCCCCCCTGTCATGCCTCTGAGCCCCCGAACATAGCTACAGTGTAGTTATGCCGATGAAAATCTTGTGTCACAGGCTTCTCCAACAGAGCAACACAAAACACAGATAAACAGAAAAATATAGTGCAAGTAAAGAGTAAATACAAGAAGAAAATAGTTTTAAAAAGTGAAATAGTGCAATAAGAGTCTAAATGCAAGTCATTGAAATATGATATATTAGAGAAATAGATAAATCATTTTTAAGTTGCAAAACTGAGGGATACCACAGTCCGTACTTGACACCATCACAGCCTCTTAGCATGCCTTTCACATCCCTGAAGGCGGCTCTCTGCTTCGCGACTGCTTGGGTGTAGTCGGGGAATACTCTGATCCTGTCTCCGTGTGACGTTCTCGGATCTGTGGCCGTGGCTGCCTTGCGGAGGATCGCTTCCTTCTCCCGGTAATAGTGAAACCTCACCACAAAGGCGCGGGGTGGCTGGTCCTCCTGGGGCCGTTCCCGTAGGGTGCGATGGCATCTGTCTAGTAGTGGCTCTTTTTCTAAGCCCAGCGTTTCCTGGAGTAGTTTAGCTACAAAGTCAGTTGGGTTCTTCCCTGCCTCCCGTTTTTCTTGTATCCCGGTGATGTGGAGGTTGCACCTCCTAGACCGCGCCTCCAGGTCCTCACTCCTGTCAGAGAAGATTTTCATGTCCTTTTTTAGCTGCTGCACGTCTCGTTCGAGAGTGGTAATGAGGTCCGAGTGATCATTAGCGGCAGTATCCAGGTTCTCGACCCGGTCCTCCAAAGACTTGGTGCGGCTGCTGACGCGGTCAACGGCGGATCTCAGCTCGTCCCTCAGTTGGCTTATTTCACGTCGTAATTCTTTAGACTGCATCTCGGCGTTGTCATCAATTTTCTTCAGCAGGTCCTCTCTGAGAGATTGAATGGCCTGTAGAATGGCGGTCTCATCGCCTCGTGCTGCGCTAGCGGCTAGGGGCCCTGCCCCAGCACCTTTAGCCGGGCTAGCACTATTAGCTTTCGGATCTGGCGCAGCAGACGCCTTTTTGCGAGAGGAAGACGACATAGTTCAAATGAAACTGTTGGGCGGAGGCAAAGAAGAACAGCTTAGATTAAAGTTACTTGAATATAGTGTAGAGGGTAGTTGTCTAATATAAATATTCTGATTCTGGCGAGGAGCTCGAGAAATGCGACCTCACATGGCTCCGCTCAGACCGGAAGTCGAGTCTGGTGGTTTTAGTCTCGCATTTTGAGGATAATAACCACAGCAATATGTAATCAATTATTTAGAAATACAAGGAAATGTATTTATTTCAGGCTGCAAAATCATGTGTAGTTCCATAAAGAAGGGAACAGTTATAACATGGTGTTTTTTTATTCATATTGAAAATCGTAAAATGTTGAAAAAAGTCAGAATTCTGAGAAAAATGTAAAAACTCTGAGAAAAAAAGAATTCTGAGAAAAAAGTATAAAAAAGGTCAGAATTATGAGAAAAAAATCAAAATTCAGAAAAATAGGTCAAAACTATGCAAAAAAAGTAATAATGTTTGTTTGTATTTAGGAGCTTCGGGCGGAGGCTGCGCTGCAGGAGGGGAACCTCTCCTGGCTGAAGGCCCGGATGGCCGCTCTGACGGAGGTTTCTGCAGACGGAGACGCTCAGAGGAACGGAGACGCTCTGAACAAACTCTGCTCGGACTTTAAGGCTCTGCTGGCGTCTCTGCTGGAGGTGAGACTCTCAGTTATTAAAGTCACTCACATCTTATAGTCTCTGGGAGTCTCTCCTGCACAGCTGCTTCCTGTCCGTCCTCTTCATAATCATATTTAATTTTGTCTTAATGTACATTATTTAATTTCATATTCTGTTCTTGTACATATCATCTTCTTGCACTACTTTTTATTTTGTATTGTTGTATTTTATGATTGCATTGTTGGAGGAGCTCAGGTCAGAAGACTGTAGCTCTGTGTATAGGATGATAAAACCTCTGACTCTAAACGTCCCCTCTGTGTCCCCTCTCTGTCCCCTCTGTGTCCCCTCTGTGTCCCCTCTGTGTCCCCTCTCTGTCCCCTCTGTGTCCCCTCTGTGTCCCCTCTCTGTCCCCTCTCTGTCCCCTCTGTGTCCCCTCTCTGTCCCCTCTCTGTCCCCTCTGTGTCCCCTCTGTGTCCCCTCTCTGTCCCCTCTGTGTCCCCTCTGTGTCCCCTCTCTGTCCCCTCTCTGTCCCCTCTGTCCCCCCTCTCTGTCCCCTCTGTGTCCCCTCTCTGTCCCCTCTGTGTCCCCTCTGTGTCCCCTCTGTGTCCCCTCTCTGTCCCCTCTCTGTCCCCTCTCTGTCCCCTCTGTGTCCCCTCTGTGTCCCCTCTCTGTCCCCTCTGTGTCCCCTCTCTGTCCCCTCTGTGTCCCCTCTCTGTCCCCTCTCTGTCCCCTCTGTGTCCCCTCTGTGTCCCCTCTCTGTCCCCTCTGTGTCCCCTCTGTGTCCCCTCTCTGTCCCCTCTCTGTCCCCTCTGTCCCCCCTCTCTGTCCCCTCTGTGTCCCCTCTCTGTCCCTCTGTGTCCCCTCTGTGTCCCCTCTGTGTCCCCTCTCTGTCCCCTCTCTGTCCCCTCTCTGTCCCCTCTGTGTCCCCTCTGTGTCCCCTCTCTGTCCCCTCTGTGTCCCCTCTCTGTCCCCTCTGTGTCCCCTCTCTGTCCCCTCTCTGTCCCCTCTCTGTCCCCTCTCTGTCCCCTCTCTGTCCCCTCTGTGTCCCCTCTCTGTCCCCTCTCTGTCCCCTCTCTGTCCCCTCTCTGTCCCCTCTCTGTCCCCTCTGTGTCCCCTCTCTGTCCCCTCTGTGTCCCCTCTCTGTCCCCTCTCTGTCCCCTATGTATCCCCTCTCTGTCCCCTCTCTGTCCCCTCTCTGTCCCCTCTGTGTCCCCTCTCTGTCCCCTCTGTGTCCCCTCTCTGTCCCCTCTGTGTCCCCTCTCTGTCCCCTCTCTGTCCCCTCTCTGTCCCCTCTCTGTCCCCTCTGTGTCCCCTCTCTGTCCCCTCTGTGTCCCCTCTCTGTCCCCTATGTGTCCCCTCTCTGTCCCCTCTCTGTCCCCTCTGTGTCCCCTCTCTGTCCTCTCTGTCCCCCTGCAGGCGGAGAAGATGTTGCTGGCGCTGGGAGACTGTGCTCAATTCAGAGAGGAGGTCCAGACCCTGCTAGAGGACCTGGTTCTGGGTCAGAGAGAAGCTCAGAGCGAGGTCTCCAGGATCCTCGACTGCCCGTCTGTGAGGGAGGCCCAGCAGCAGCTGCTCAGCCACCAGGTGCTCAGAAACACCTTCTATTACAAACTGATGGCTCTTTATTCAGCAGTTCCATATTTAAGAGGGTGTGGCCTAGCTTTGGTAAATGACACGGATGCAAAAAGGAGCACTTTTGTGTAATTTCTTTATGTTATATTTGAGAAAAACAAGTGATGAAGACTCAGTAAAAGTTGTTTGTCTTGAAAATGCAAACAAAATTAACATTTAATTTGCAAAACAAGTTGAGAAAATGATCCTGTAATTATGAAAAAAAGAGAAAATTACAAAATGGTTACAAATGATGAAAAACTAAACATTCTGAAAAATCTCAAAATATTTACTTGTGATTTCATAAAATGAATAAAATTGAACTTGCGATTTAAAAACAACAATTATATTATATAATGTATTATAATTTGAGGACGTATCACATTAAAAGGTTAATGTAAATATTTATCTCAGTGCATTAACAGTGTGAATGTGTCCCCTGCAGCAGCTGCTGAAGCGCCTCAGGATGAAGAGGAAGGAGGTGCAGCAGCTGATCCTCAGAGGACAGACCCTACAGGGGGAGGAGGGCGTGGGGGGGGCGCTGCAGACAGACCTGCACCTCCTGGAGACCACCGTCAGCAAGATGGAGCAGAACACTGACTCCCAGGAGCAGAGTCTGGAGGTGAGACAGGTTACTGTAGAGAAAGAGAGTCTGGAGGTGAGACAAGTTCATACAGAGAGAGAGTCTGGAGGTGAGACAAGTTCATACAGAGAGAGAGTCTGGAGGTGAGACAGGTTACTGTAGAGAGAGAGAGTCTGGAGGTGAGACAGGTTCATACAGAGAGAGAGAGTCTGGTGGTGAGACAGGTTACTGAAGAGAGAGAGAGTCTGGAGGTGAGACAGGTTCATACTGAGAGAGAGAGAGAGTCTGGAGGTGAGACAGGTTACTGTAGAGAGAGAGAGACTGGAGGTGAGACATGTTACTGTAGAGAGAGAGAGACTGGAGGTGAGACAGGTTCATACAGAGAGAGAGACTGGAGGTGAGACAGGTTCATACAGAGAGAGAGAGACTGGAGGTGAGACAGGTTACTGTAGAGAGAGAGAGACTGGAGTTGAGACAGGTTCATACTGAGAGAGCGAGAGAGACTGGAGGTGAGACAGGTTACTGTAGAGAGAGAGAGACTGGAGTTGAGACAGGTTCATACTGAGAGAGAGAGAGAGACTGGAGGTGAGACAGGTTACTGTAGAGAGAGAGAGACTGGAGGTGAGACAGGTTACTGTAGAGAGAGAGAGACTGGAGGTGAGACAGGTTCATACTGAGAGAGAGAGAGAGACTGGAGGTGAGACAGGTTACTGTAGAGAGAGAGAGTCTGGAGGTGAGACAGGTTACTGTAGAGAGAGAGAGACTGGAGGTGAGACAGTTTACTGTAGAGAGAGAGAGACTGGAGGTGAGACAGGTTCATACTGAGAGAGAGAGAGAGTCTGGAGGTGAGACAGGTTCATACTGAGAGAGAGAGTCTGGAGGTGAGACAGGTTACTGTAGAGAGAGAGAGACTGGAGTTGAGACAGGTTCATACTGAGAGAGAGAGAGAGACTGGAGGTGAGACAGGTTACTGTAGAGAGAGAGAGACTGGAGGTGAGACAGGTTACTGTAGAGAAAGAGAGACTGGAGGTGAGACAGGTTACTGTAGAGAGAGAGAGACTGGAGGTGAGACAGGTTCATACTGAGAGAGAGAGAGAGACTGGAGGTGAGACAGGTTACTGTAGAGAAAGAGAGACTGGAGGTGAGACAGGTTACTGTAGAGAGAGAGAGTCTGGAGGTGAGACAGGTTCATACTGAGAGAGAGAGAGAGACTGGAGGTGAGACAGGTTACTGTAGCGAAAGAGAGACTGGAGGTGAGACGGGTTACTGTAGAGAGAGAGACTGGAGGTGAGACAGGTTCATACTGAGAGAGAGAGAGAGACTGGAGGTGAGACAGGTTACTGTAGAGAGAGAGAGACTGGAGGTGAGACAGGTTACTGTAGAGAAAGAGAGTCTGGAGGTGAGACAGGTTACTGTAGAGAGAGAGAGTCTGGAGGTGAGACAGGTTACTGTAGAGAAAGAGAGTCTGGAGGTGAGACAGGTTACTGTAGAGAGAGAGAGACTGGAGGTGAGACAGGTTACTGTAGAGAAAGAGAGTCTGGAGGTGAGACAGGTTACTGTAGAGAAAGAGAGTCTGGAGGTGAGACAGGTTACTGTAGAGAAAGAGAGTCTGGAGGTGAGACAGGTTACTGTAGAGAAAGAGAGTCTGGAGGTGAGACAGGTTACTGTAGAGAAAGAGAGTCTGGAGGTGAGACAGGTTACTGTAGAGAAAGAGAGTCTGGAGGTGAGACAGGTTACTGTAGAGAAAGAGAGTCTGGAGGTGAGACAGGTTACTGTAGAGAAAGAGAGTCTGGAGGTGAGACAGGTTACTGTAGAGAAAGAGAGTCTGGAGGTGAGACAGGTTACTGTAGAGAGAGAGAGACTGGAGGTGAGACAGGTTACTGTAGAGAAAGAGAGTCTGGAGGTGAGACAGGTTACTGTAGAGAGAGAGAGACTGGAGGTGAGACAGGTTACTGTAGAGAGAGAGAGACTGGAGGTGAGACAGGTTACTGTAGAGAGAGAGAGTCTGGAGTTGAGACAGGTTACTGTAGAGAGAGAGAGACTGGAGGTGAGACAGGTTACTGTAGAGAGAGAGAGACTGGAGGTGAGACAGGTTACTGTAGAGAGAGAGAGTCTGGAGGTGAGACAGGTTACTGTAGAGAGAGAGAGTCTGGAGGTGAGACAGGTTACTGTAGAGAGAGAGAGACTGGAGGTGAGACAGGTTACTGTACTCAGGTGTTGTTTCCCTGGTTAAAGACCATAAAGACACTTGTCTCCTCTCAGGTGTCCCTTGCAGCCTGGCAGGAGTTCACCAGCCAGCAGGGGGCGGTGCAGGACTTCCTGCTGAGAGCTCGATCCTCATTGGACCGGGACCAGACCTTCAGCAGTCCAGAGAGCCTGTCTGCAGAACTGGACCAGGCTCAGGTGAGTCTCTGGGGTTAGGGGACAGGAAGTGAGTCTCTGGGGTTAGGGGACAGGAAGTGAGTCTCTGGGGTTAGGGGACAGGAAGTGAGTCTCTGGTCCTGCAGGTGTGTCTACCTGTTGATCCTCCTATTGGACAGCTACGTACGGCAACCCAGAGGTGGAAGTATTGGAGTACAAATACTTTGTCACTGTACTTAAGTACATGTTTCTGGTATCAGTACTTTACTCCACTACTTATTTTTCTGACCACTTTTTACTTTGACTTCTTACATTTTGAACCCAAATACCTGTACTTTCTACTTCTTACATGTTGAACACAAATACCTGTACTTTCTACTTCTTACATGTTGAACACAAATACCTGTACTTTCTACTTCTTACATTTTGAACACAAATACCTGTACTTTCTACTTCTTACATTTTGAACACAAATACCTGTACTTTCTACTTCTTACATGTTGAACACAAATACCTGTACTTTCTACTTCTTACATGTTGAACACAAATACCTGTACTTTCTACTTCTTACATGTTGAACACAAATACCTGTACTTTCTACTTCTTACATGTTGAACACAAATACCTGTACTTTCTACTTCTTACATTTTGAACACAAATACCTGTACTTTCTACTTCTTACATGTTGAACACAAATACCTGTACTTTCTACTTCTTACATTTTGAACACAAATACCTGTACTTTCTACTTCTTACATGTTGAACACAAATACCTGTACTTTCTACTTCTTACATTTTGAACACAAGTACCTGTACTTTCTACTTCTTACATGTTGAACACAAATACCTGTACTTTCTACTTCTTACATGTTGAACACAAATACCTGTACTTTCTACTTCTTACACTTTGAACACAAATACCTGTACTTTCTACTTCTTACATGTTGAACCCAAATACCTGTACTTTCTACTTCTTACATGTTGAACACAAACACCTGTACTTTCTACTTCTTACATGTTGAACACAAATACCTGTACTTTCTACTTCTCACATTTCCCAAACAGGCTGGTTCCTTTAGTTTGAATGTGTGTTTGGTGGCGTGATCATTATTATTTAGAGTCATTGCGTGCCTATTGATTTGAACACGATCCGTGTATCCATCATTTCCTGGTCTTCTCTAAAGAAGAGGGACCAATGAAAACGTTGTCATGTTGCCGTTGTTCAGCATGGAAACATTCATTAGCTAACAATGACATTATTGTTCTATTAATATAAAGGGAGGTCAGGTACTCTTTAAAACAGCTGCTAGTTATGGGTACTTTTTACTGAAGTACATTTCAAAGCCCTCTTTACTTTTACTTGAGTAAAGAAGTTTAGTCAGTACTTCTACTTTCACCAGAGTATTTTTAAACATGAAGTATCTGTACTTCTACTTGAGTAAAGGATGTGTGTACTTTTGTCATCTCTACCACAACCCAAACAGGACATTTGACGTCCGTACTGATCTAATAACAGCTTTCTTCTTGAATCAACTTTTTTTACGAAAAGCATTTTCCCTTTTCCAGGACTCTCAAGAGAAAAAGTTTGGCTAGAATAAAACATTCCTAATGTTAAATAAATGAAAACCATTCACAGTTAAGAGTTAGATATGAATTACGAATGCCATAAATGATTGCATATTTACAGTTTCTTATGTTCTCCACTGTGATAGCAGTGAGAAGTTAAATCCATGTCTCACTTATTCTAAGAATGCACTTAACCCACTGAAAGGATTTCTTCTCAAATAATTGGGAAATGACGTTGTGATAACAATAACTCATCTCTCTCCTTCAGATTAAAGTGGTCAGGGCTTTTTTCTTCTTTGCCGCTGTGTCAAATGTCCCACTTGGGTTGCCGTACGTAGCGGTCCAATATGGAGAAACAACTCGAGCTTGAGCATCAGGGAGAATCAGGTAGACATGCATTAGGGTAACCCTGCTGTGTACCTGTCCACCAGGTGCTCCTGAAGCAGAGTGCAGCTGAGGCCTCTCACATGAACACTCTGCTGAAGAGAGCTAAAGAGATCCAGCTGGGTCCCAACAACAGAGACCTGCTGCTGGAGCAGGCCCGGACCCTCAGTGGGGAGGTGGGCCGCGTGGAGGCCGGACTCAACAAAGAGTAAGAGGGTTTTATACATTATGATTTAATATTCATCATGGTGTCTGTGTGATAGCGGCCCCCTGCTGTGTTCAGTGTGATAGCGCCCCCCTGCTGTGTTCAGTGTGATAGCGGCCCCCTGCTGTGTTCAGTGTGATAGCGGCCCCCTGCTGTGTTCAGCGTGATAACGGCCCCCTGCTGTGTTCAGTGTGATAACGGCCCCCTGCTGTGTTCAGTGTGATAGCGACCCCCTGCTGTGTTCAGTGTGATAACGGCCCCCTGCTGTGTTCAGTGTGATAGCGACCCCCTGCTGTGTTCAGTGTGATAACGGCCCCCTGCTGTGTTCAGTGTGATAGCGGCCCCCTGCTGTGTTCAGTGTGATAACGGACCCCCTGCTGTGTTCAGTGTGATAGCGGCCCCCTGCTGTGTTCAGTGTGAAAGCGCCCCCCTGCTGTGTTCAGTGTGATAGCGGCCCCCGGCTGTGTTCAGTGTGATAACGGCCCCCCTGCTGTGTTCAGTGTGATAACGGCCCCCTGCTGTGTTCAGTGTGATAGCGGCCCCCTGCTGTGTTCAGTGTGATAACGGCCCCCTGCTGTGTTCAGTGTGATAGCGGCCCCCTGCTGTGTTCAGTGTGATAACGGACCCCCTGCTGTGTTCAGTGTGATAGCGGCCCCCTGCTGTGTTCAGTGTGAAAGCGCCCCCCCTGCTGTGTTCAGTGTGATAGCGGCCCCCGGCTGTGTTCAGTGTGATAACGGCCCCCCTGCTGTGTTCAGTGTGATAACGGCCCCCTGCTGTGTTCAGTGTGATAGCGACCCCCTGCTGTGTTCAGTGTGATAACGGCCCCCTGCTGTGTTCAGTGTGATAGCGACCCCCTGCTGTGTTCAGTGTGAAAGCGACCCCCTGCTGTGTTCAGTGTGATAGCGACCCCCTGCTGTGTTCAGTGTGATAGCGACCCCCTGCTGTGTTCAGTGTGATAACGGCCCCCTGCTGATAACGGCCCCCTGCTGTGTTCAGTGTGATAGCGACCCCCTGCTGTGTTCAGTGTGATAACGGCCCCCTGCTGATAACGGCCCCCTGCTGTGTTCAGTGTGATAGCGACCCCCTGCTGTGTTCAGTGTGATAACGTCCCCCTGCTGATAACGGCCCCCTGCTGTGTTCAGTGTGCAGACCCTGCAGCAGATGAAGACCCTCTGGATGAAGTTCTCTCAGGACTTTGAGGCGTTCTCTCTGTGGATCTCTGAGAAGGAGAAGCAGCTGGAGGTCCTGAAGTCCTCCTCGCTGCCTCTGGAGGAGCAGATCAGCACCGTCAAGGTACCGCACAGAGATGATGTTCAAACTGCATCACTCTCACTCAAAGAGCCACTGGTGTTAGCAGGCTGTAGCCGGCCTGAGGGGTAAAGCCTGGGGTCAAGGGTTACACTGGAATGGAAACACCTTTTGATATTCCTAAAGGTCTTTCCATTGTCATATAAAATACAATAAAACTCAGATGCAGTTGAATTATAACAAATAATCAAATAAATAATAATAATAATTGAGAGGTAATCTAAACAAACACAAGTGAAGAAAGAAAAACAATTAAATACAACTAAATAATAAAAGAGAAAAACTGACAATTACAAATTCCAAAAAACGAAAATAAAAGATAACAGCGGGTAAAAATAATAAAATTAGTGGTAAGAAAAACATACATTGTGATTTTATTAAAAAAAAATATATATATATAAATAAAATATAAATAAGTAATTGATATCAAATGTTGGGTTATTGCTCTTTTGGTTGTTTATAAAACTCCAGAAGCGTCTCTCCAGCAGGGGTCCGGGGGGTTGGGGGCCGGGGGTCTACAGCATGTTTCATATCAGCTGTTATTATTATTCACTATATTCTATAAAACAAACACTAAATATAAAACTATGATTATTCTCTACAGGCTGTGTCTGCAGAGCTGCAGGCCCAGAGGGGGGTCTCCTCTCAGCTGGAGGGGGGGTCCCAGGCTCTCTCTCAGTTCGTCTCCTCGGGGGAGGGGTCCCGCATCAAGGCCCGGCTGACCCAGATCGGGCGGTACTGGGAGGAGCTGCAGGAGAGCGTGCAGCAGCAGGAGGAGGCGCTGCAGGAGAGCGCCACCTACCTGCAGAGGTTCACCTGCAGCCTGCAGCAGGTACGCACTCTCACTGGGGCTCCATATTACATTTAGACCTCTGATACAATATGAATAATAATGCATTTCCTATCTTCTCATTGCACCCCCCCCCCCCCCCCCCCCCCCCCCCTCCAGATGGACTCCTCTCTCAGTGATCTGCAGAAACAGCTGCATCTTCCTCTGAAGTCCTGCTCCTCTTCCTCAGAGACCTACAGAGCCCTGCAGGACCACATGGTAAGGGGGACCCCTACTCATGTTATTAAACTGTGTGACTTTGTTTTCTACAGCAGGCGGTGCTCCAGCAGCAGGAGGTGTGTGTGAGGTGTGTGTGACTCTCTCTTGTTGTTTCTCCTGCAGGAGGTGCTCCAGCAGCAGGAGGCTCTGCGGGGGGGTCTCCTCTCCCTCCAGGCGTCCGCTCGGAGGCTCAGGGAGCGTCCGGCTGCAGAGAGGAGCGTCACGGAGCTGAACGTCAGATACGAGGAGAGCCTGCAGGAGGCCAGAGACTCTCAGAGGGACCTGGAGGAGCTGCTGACCCTGTGGAGGAGGTGAGGGTCCTGATGAGGGGCCTGATGAGGGTCTGATGAGGGGCCTGATGAGGGTCCTGATGAGGGTCTGAGGGTCTGATGAGGTCCTAAGGGTCTGATGAGGGTCTGATGAGGGTCTGATGAGGGTCCTGATGAGGGTCTGATGAGGGTCTGATGAGGGTCTGATGAGGTCCTGAGGGTCCTGAGGGTCTGATGAGGGTCCTGAGGGTCTGATGAGGGTCTGATGAGGGTCCTGATGAGGGTCTGATGAGGGTCTGATGAGGGTCCTGATGGGGGTCTGATGAGGGTCTGATGAGGGTCTGATGAGGTCCTGAGGGTCTGATGAGGGTCCTGAGGGTCTGATGAGGGTCCTGAGGGTCTGATGAGGGTCCTGATGAGGGTCTGATGAGGGTCTGATGAGGGTCCTGATGAGGGTCTGATGAGGGTCTGATGAGGTCCTGAGGGTCTGATGAGGGTCTGATGAGGGTCTGATGAGGTCCTGAGGGTCTGATGAGGGTCCTGAGGGTCTGATGAGGTCCTGAGGGTCTGATGAGGGTCCTGAGGGTCTGATGAGGGTCCTGATGAGGGTCCTGATGAGGGTCTGATGAGGGTCTGATGAGGGTCCTGAGGGTCTGATGAGGGTCCCGATGAGGGTCTGATGAGGGTCTGATGAGGGTCCTGGTGAGGTCCTGATGAGGGTCTGATGAGGGTCTGATGAGGGTCTGATGAGGTCCTGAGGGTCTGAGGGTCCTGATGAGGGTCTGATGAGGGTCTGATGAACCTCTCTGTGTCTCCAGGTTTGAGAAGCAGCGCTCTCACCTGACTTCCTGTCTGGAGAGGAGTGAGGCAGCGTCTCACCCTGAGAGCCAGCTGCTGTCAGCGGACAGAGCCAAGCTGCGCGCTGAGATACAGGATCTGCAGGTACACAGCATTAACACATCTGAAACACAGACTGCCCTCAATAACCTGCACACACATTAAAATGCATAATCACCACTTATGCCAACAAGAGCCAATAGAAACAGATGTATGTGTGAGGAAAAGCATGAAGCATAAAGCAGTGAGTTTTGCAGGGGTTGCTTTGAGCTCCAGTTTGATTTATTTCCCTGCAGAAGATATCCTGAAAGCTGCAGTTTTGTTCTTATACGCCAGGGGTGTCAAACTCAAGGCCCGGGGGCCAAATCCGGCCCGCGACTTCATTTTATGTGGCCCCACAAGAGCTTGCAAAGAATATAATATGTTTATTATATGGTTACATGCTACTTTACAGAAGCACATTGCCCATAAACGACATGTCCCACAATGCATCTCAAATTTGACTTTTTCTCAGAATTTGACTTTTTTTGTCCAAATATGCCTTTTTTCTTAGAATTAGCCTTTTTCTCATAAATAGATTTTTTTTTCAAAATGTCCCTTCTCTTTTTCAAAATGTCACAATCAATGTTTTTCCAGAATGTGGCTTTTCTTTTAAAATCATATTGTGACATTCTTACTGAAGAGACTTGCAATTATTTGCTCTAGACTTCTGCTTTCAGACGTAGTTAATTATGAAGTTATATTAATTAATGATATAGTCTTAAAGTTACAACCGGCCCTTTGAGTGCAACCATAATGCTGATGTGGCCCGTGATGAAATTGAGTTTGACACCCCTGTTATACGCTTTTGTTTTCTAAAGTAAAGTGTAATTCAGTGCATTGTGACTGAGGTCTGTTTTTTTTATTATGAGTTAACGTGTGTGTGTTTTCTTGCACTGTGGGCTGCAGATTGAAGTCATGATTATTAGAGTATACTGTGTTCCTCTCAGGGTGTGCACGAGGAGCTGCTCTCCCTGCAGACGCCTCTCTCTGAGCTGCAGACGCTGGGTCAGTCTCTGAGTGTGTCTGCGTCAGAGGAGAGAGAGCAGCAGCTGCAGGGCGAGATACAGAGTCTGCAGAGGAGGCTGCAGGAGCAGAGGGAGAACCTGCCTCAGAGGTAAACTCCTGCAAGCACACTCAGATCCTCCCATGTTTCCCTTTTAGAAGTGCATAGAGTGCATCACAAGAGCACTGGAGATGATTGCAAGTCTCTGTTTACTGGTCTCTCTCACTAACCAATAAAGAAATTACAATTAGTTCAGAATGCTGCGGCCAGGATTTAAACTAACACAACAGAGACCACATTTAGCCTGTGCAGTAAAATCACTGTTCATGTTTTATGGTTTTATGGTTTTATAGTTTTATGGTTTTATGGTTTTATGGTTTTATAGTTTTATGGTTTTATAGTTTTATAGTTTTATAGTTTTATGGTTTTATAGTTTTATAGTTTTATAGTTTTATAGTTTTATTGTTTTATGGTTTTATGGTTTTATAGTTTTATTGTTTTATGGTTCAGTGATTTCACTCTTTCTGTTTGTTTATACCTTGTTTGTAATGATGTTCCTCATGTGTTATTGTCATGTTCTGTCACACTCTGTAAAGCTCTTTGGGCTGCGTCCAGCATCAAAGGTGCTATATAAATAAAGTGTATTGTTATTATTCCTCCTCCCCCCCCCTCCTCCTCCTCCCCCCCTCCTCCTCCTCCTCAGAGTGTCTGCTCTCCAGACACACCTCTCTCTGCTGGATCAGTTCGACCAGGATCTGCTCCTCTTCTCCTCCAGGAGCGAGACGCTGCTGTGCAAACTGCACTCTGCTCCTGCTGTCAACATCAGAGACCTGCAGCCCACACACACACACTGCAAGGTACACACACACACACACACACACACACACACACACACACACACACACACACACACACACACACACACACACACACACACACACACACACACACACACACACACACACACACACACACACACACACACACACACACACACACACTTCAATATATAACTTTTTTAAATGATAAGCATCTTCTGCTGATTTTTATAGCGCTCTCCCTAGAGCTCAGAGACTCTAAACTCCCCTCTCTCCCCTCAGGAGAGCCATGCGGCGCTGCAGCAGCAGAGCGGGGAGATGCGGCGACTGCAGGAGCAGCTGGAGCATCTGTGTCTGCGCTGTGAGGGTGGGGGAGAGGGCGGGGAGGCGCAGCTCCTCCGCAGCCGAGCCGCGGGGGGTCTGCAGCCGCAGCTGGATGCTCTGCAGACGGCCGAGCTGCAGACAGAGAGCCTGCAGCGGCTGCACAGCTTCCTGCAGAAACACAGCCAGGCAGGGGGGGTCCTGAGGGGCCTGAGGGAGACTCTGGAGGGGCGGGGGGTCCTGAGGGAGACCCTGGAGGGTGGGGGGGTCCTGAGGGAGACCCTGGAGGGGGGGGGGCAGCTGGGACCGGGGGCGGGTGGAGGAACTGCAGCGAGAAATGACCTCCATCGGGTCAGATATCCTGCAGCTGGAGACACTCGCTGTTAATCTGGACAGCAGCCTCTGTAAGAGCCACCTCCACCTGGGGGGGTCCGAGGGGGGGGTCAGCAGGGTGTCCTCCTGCCGCCTGCTGGCTGACGCCCTCTCCTCGCAGCTGGACTCGGTGAGGAGCCTCCTGGGGGAGAAGCAGAGTGAGGCGGAGGCTCTGGGCTCCCTGTGGAGCTCCTTCAGGAGGAGGAGGGAGACGCTGCTGCAGACTGTGGAGAAGCTGGAGGAGCAGGCGGAGAGGAGCAGCTGCAGGGAGGCAACGCTGAGCCAGCTGCAGAACAGGTACACACACACACACACACACACACACACACACACACACACACACAGTCAGTGTAACCTAAAGCAGCAGGCGCTGCATTACATTTTGAAGTTGAATTTCAACATGTTTTTCTAACGTCCCCCGTCCCCGTCCCCCCCTGTGTGCCTCAGGCTGCGGTTCTTCTCCCAGCTGGAGGACGAGCTGCAGTCTCACCTCCACGAGCTGCAGTGGCTGCAGGAGCGGGGGGGCCAGCTGGCCCTCAGAGACCAGGAGCTGGGAGGGGAGGTGCAGAGGGAGATCAGCCTGCTGCAGAACACCTGGGGGGAGACCAGGACCCTCATCACTGAGAGGTACTGAGGGGGAACATTGTGGTATCTAAAGGGTTCAAGCTTAAGAGGATCCTGAAGAGAACAGCTGATCAGAGAAACCCTGAGGGGAGTGGTCATCTTCTGTCAGGGTCACTAGTCTGTTGTTGTTATACTCAATTCAGCCCCTTGTGGCTGAATTGAGTATAACAACAACACCATATCCCCAGCACCCCCTGATGTGGACCCTCTCTGCTCTCTGCTCTCTGCTCTCTGCTCTCTGTTCTCTGTTCTCTGTTCTCTGTTCTCTGTTCTCTGTTCTCTGTTCTCAGTGTATTTCTCATACATGATGTGACTTCCTGTGCTGCAGACAGGAGCAGTGCCACCTGCTGGTGGAGCTGATGAAGGAGTACCAGAGTCTGAAGACGTCTCTGTGCAGCGTGACGGACAGCAGTGAGACTCTGATGGACATCACATCTGTCCTCAGAGACCACGAGGAGACACGGAGAGCACTCACCAAGGTCTGTGCCTGAACTATTATTAGTCCATTTATTGAACATGTTAGAAACAAAAAAAACAATAATAATAATAATTATTATTACAAAGAGAAGCAAAATAAAAAACTTTCAAGGTATAAAAAAATATAGTCATGTTCAAAAGAAGAAGCCTCAAAACGTTTCTGGTCCTCCTCTAGCGTACATTGTTCATGAAAATCAAAGTTCAGGTCATCGTCATCAGCATCCGTGAGATTTGATTAATTGTTTTAAACAAATCATGTTTTTGTACAAAACAACCAAAATAACTAACGTTTCACCGTGCACACGTCCAGAGTTTCACCGTGCACACATCCAGAGTTTCACCGTGCACACGTCCAGAGTTTCACCGTGCACACATCCAGAGTTTCACCGTGCCCACGTCCAGAGTTTCACCGTGCACACATCCAGAGTTTCACCGTGCACACATCCAGAGTTTCACCGTGCATACATCCAGAGTTTCACCGTGCACACGTCCAGAGTTTCACCGTGCACACGTCCAGAGTTTCACCGTGCACACATCCAGAGTTTCACCGTGCACACCTACCGGCAATCCAGATTTACCGTGCACACATCCAGAGTTTCACCGTGCACACATCCAGAGTTTCACCGTGCACACGTCCAGAGTTTCACCGTGCACACATCCAGAGTTTCACCGTGCACACGTCCAGAGTTTCACCGTGCACACGTCCAGAGTTTCACCGTGCACACGTCCAGAGTTTCACCGTGCACACGTCCAGAGTTTCACCGTGCACACGTCCAGAGTTTCACCGTGCACACGTCCAGAGTTTCACCGTGCACACGTCCAGAGTTCACCGTGCACACGTCCAGAGTTTCACCGTGCACACGTCCAGAGTTTCACCGTGCACACGTCCAGAGTTTCACCGTGCACACATCCAGAGTTTCACCGTGCATACATCCAGAGACAGAAAAGAGTCCCGTCTCAGTGCCCCTGTAACACTGACCAGAGACCCCCCTGTGGCCCCCCTACAAAAAAAAGGTTACAATATTCCGATTTATTGGAACTAAATCCAATCAGAGACCCGGATGTACAGCGGAGATTAAACTGTTCATTACCTTATATATAAGCAAATACTGTTTATGTTTTTTAATTAAATTGTCACTTAAAGGTCACCTATCATGCTTTGTTCAGGCAATAGCATAGGTCTCAGATATATACAAAATATATAAAAAACATGTCTATGAAGTGTTTTGCTCCAAATACCAAACAGATCACCCATTCTAGCCATGCCTCATATCCCTCTATTTCACTTCCTGTTTCAAAAGTGCTGATTTGGGGTATAAAGCTTTAAAAAAAGAAAAGAAATTGATACAAAATAAAAAAGGAGGGGTCTGAGCTCATGCGGGACCCGGCAGCTACTGTCTAAACTAAATACTGCCGTGATGAAACGCCATATCATGGATTATCAAGGATTCTCTCTGAAACAGTATGGAGCTCAAAGGCTTTCTCTCTTGCCGGTTATACCACAAGGTGAGTTCCTTTTTATTTCCTGCTTCTTCACACACATGCTCTCCAGTACAGGTTAGCTCTGAGTGTTAGCCATGCTAATGTAAACACCGACCATATTACGTCCAAAACAGTCGGGCATTGTTTCTGATAGCAACGTTTCTGATAGGGCCGTGGGTCCACATTTCAGATATTACGTCATATCGGACGCAAATCTGGATCAGCTCCGTTGTTCCCCCGTTTTTAGAGATTTGGGTACGGAGGAAAAGAGAGAGGGTTTTATTTTCTGACGCTGCGTGAGTTCCCCGACACACCGGGGACACACCGGGGACACACCGGGGACATGTAGTTATGGATAAAAGACATCAGAAAGTAACTTTCGCATGATAGGAGACCTTTAAAGTTACTAAAACAAATACTCTTGAAAAAAACTACTGAAACAAAGGACTGTAACTTACATTTACTAAAACAAATAACTTTACAAAAACAAATACCAATTACTGTATTTTATGTTTATTTTACACAATTAGTTTCTACTGTCTTTGTCTTTTTAACCCGCTTTTATTCTCCCCCTCTCATGAAATAACTGGCCCCAGCCCAGTAACATGGGGCTAGAACCGCCACTGCTCTGTCTGCATGAGTCCTGTCTCCTGTCTCCTGTCTCCTGTCTCCTGTCTCCTGTCTCCTGTCTCCTGTCTCCTGTCTCCTATCTCCTATCTTCTGTCCTGACCTTAAACTTGTCCCCTGCAGCACGAGGCTCTGAAGGTGGAGATGCTCAGCCGGCAGCAGGAGGTGGAGCAGCTCTCCGTGCGAGGGAAGCAGCTGGTGATGGAGCTGAAGAAGATCCCTGAGTGTCCCTCAGAGACACTGAAGAGGGACATGGAGACGCTGGTGGACCACTGGCTGGATGTGAGGACACTTTATTTAGGGTCACCATTAGTTATTACTTTGTTACTGTACTTAAGTACATGTTTCTGGTATCAGTACTTTACTCCACTACTTATTTTCCTGACCACTTTTTACTTTATACTTCTTACATGTTGAACACAAATACCTGTACTTTCTACTTCTTACATTTTGAACACAAATACCTGTACTTTCTACTTCTTACACTTTGAACACAAATACCTGTACTTTCTACTTCTTACATTTTGAACACAAATACCTGTACTTTCTACTTCTTACACTTTGAACACAAATACCTGTACTTTCTACTTCTTACACTTTGAACACAAATACCTGTACTTTCTACTTCTTACACTTTGAACACAAATACCTGTACTTTCTACTTCTTACACTTTGAACACAAATACCTGTACTTTCTACTTCTTACATGTTGAAACACAAATACCTGTACTTTCTACTTCTTACATTTTCCAAACAGGCTGGTTCCTTTAGTTTGAATCCGTGTTTGGTGGCGTGATCATTATTATTGATCTAATGGTTACACAAGACAAAACATCGTGATGACATCATAAAGTGTCCAAAATCTGATCAGCTCATTTTCAGACAGGTTTTTATAAAAATGGATCAAAAAGAGAGAGAATCTTTGTTCCTGAAATGTTCAGAGTCTCTTTACACAGAGGGGACACATGTTGATGAAGAAGAGACATGAAGAATTGGATTTAGCATAATAGGTGACCTTTAAACACCTGTCTCCCCCCCCCCCCCCCCCCCCCCCCCCAGGTGTCAGAGAAGCTGGACGATAACCTCCTGCAGCTGAACCAGAGCCTCTCTCTGTGGGAGGAGGTGAGGAGGATCGGGGAGGAGGTGGAGAGCTGGAGCGGAGGAGCGGTGATGGAGCTCAACGAGAGTCTGAACAACCTGAACCACAGCCGGGGGGTGGAGGAGCGCCTCGCCACGCTCAGGGTGACAGCATGTCCTCTTTAATCCTCTCTTTACGCTCTTATTCTGAAATCCCACCTCTCTGTCACCTCCTTTTCAACTTGAGACACGTGACAGTTTAATGAACAACAGGAGGTCTACTTCAATTATTTTAATATTGTTTTTACGATACGATAGGATAACACTTTACTGGTCAGATCTGAGATGCTCCTTGCATCCCAGCAGCTCCATGTGTAACATCCCAGCAGCTCCATGTGTAACATCCCAGCAGCTCCGTGTGTAACATCCCAGCAGCTCCGTGTGTAACATCCCAGCAGCTCCGTGTGTAACATCCCAGCAGCTCCGTGTGTAACATCCCAGCAGCTCCGTGTGTAACATCCCAGCAGCTCCATGTGTAACATCACAGCAGCTCCCTGTGTAACATCCCAGCAGCTCCGTGTGTAACATCACAGCAGCTCCGTGTGTAACATCCCAGCAGCTCCGTGTGTAACATCACAGCAGCTCCGTGTGTAACATCCCAGCAGCTCCGTGTGTAACATCCCAGCAGCTCCGTGTGTAACATCCCAGCAGCTCCGTGTGTAACATCCCAGCAGCTCCGTGTGTAACATCACAGCAGCTCCGTGTTGTAACATCCCAGCAGCTCCGTGTGTAACATCCCAGCAGCTCCGTGTGTAACATCCCAGCAGCTCCGTGTGTAACATCCCAGCAGCTCCGTGTGTAACATCCCAGCAGCTCCGTGTGTAACATCCCAGCAGCTCCGTGTATAACATCACAGCAGCTCCACGTGTAACATCCCAGCAGCTCCGCGTGTAACATCCCAGCAGCTCCGTGTGTAACATCCCAGCAGCTCCGTGTGTAACATCCCAGCAGCTCCGCGTGTAACATCCCAGCAGCTCCGCGTGTAACATCCCAGCAGCTCCGCGTGTAACATCCCAGCAGCTCCGTGTGTAACATCACAGCAGCTCCGTGTGTAACATCCCAGCAGCTCCGTGTGTAACATCACAGCAGCTCCGTGTGTAACATCCCAGCAGCTCCGTGTGTAACATCCCAGCAGCTCCGTGTGTAACATCACAGCAGCTCCACGTGTAACATCCCAGCAGCTCCACGTGTAACATCCCAGCAGCTCCACATGTAACATCCCAGCAGCTCCACGTGTAACATCACAGCAGCTCCACGTGTAACATCCCAGCAGCTCCGTGTGTAACATCCCAGCAGCTCCACGTGTAACATCCCAGCAGCTCCACGTGTAACATCCCAGCAGCTCCATGTGTAACATCAACAGACAAACATCAACACTCATGAGAAACAAACAACAACATGTAACATCCCAGCAGGATCAGTGAGAGCTGCTCAAAGAGCTTCAGCGTGATCTTGTTCAAATGCATGGAAGATAAAATGGTCAATTTGTATTTTGGTTGCATTCTAAATATATATGTGTTTGTGTTGCATCGTGACAGACTTCATCAAAACAACAGATATCAAATGTTGGGATGAAACTAGTTTAACCTTCTTTAGTTTCTTTCTAAAGTATGTTTCTTTACGTTTCAATGCAAAACACATTTGGTGCATTCAACGTGCCTGACTCAGCTGTTTCTTCTGAACGTCCATTAGTTGTATTTCTCTTTGGGTTTGCACTTCTTCCACCATCAGGGCTCAGAACCCTTCCCTGTCAACAGAGACACTTTGCAATACTTCATCCAGACTTTAAAACTAACAACATCACATGTTCCTGCGTGTTGTTGCCATGTTTGTTTCCTCTCAACTTCTGGATTTATTTGAGTCTTAGAGTTATTTGTGCTTTCTAGGATAAACCATTGCTCTCCACACTTTAGTGTAAAAAGTGTGTGACAGCCTTTAGAAGCCATTGATTTAAAGGTGGGGTAGGTAAGTTTGAGAAACCGGCTCGAGATCGCTAGAATTTGAAAATACACAACCGGAGAAAATCTGCCACTTCCTTACAGAGCCCCTCCTCCAACACACACGAACGCGCACATGACCAATGAGGGCACGAGATAAGTTTGTGCACGAAGGCTGACAGGCAGGTAGGCCATCCAGTTATTTTAGCCGGGCCGGCTAAAATGATTGGTCGTGCTTTTTACAGTACTACAGCTTCCACAGATGAGATATTTTTATGGATTTTTTGTCAAAGCACTTCAGATATTCATTGCTATCGGGATGTTTAGAGCATTCCATGGAATATAACAAAAAGTGTATCTCGAGCCGGTTTCTCAAACTTACCTACCCCACCTTTAAAGTAAATCTCCCACGTTATTACTTTAAAGTCATTCACACACTATAGTGACTCCCAGATATTGAGAGTAACCCTGAGAAGCCTCTCACGGAGCTTTAATGAAGGTCTCCTGCTCAGGTGGAGCTGCTGGAGAAGGAGCAGAGGGTGGAGACGCTGCAGAGCAAAGTGTCCGAGCTGAGGAGGTGCAGTCAGAGCGAGGAGACGCCCGCCAAGCTGCAGGTAAGATCAGATGGAACTTTATTCATCCCCTTTTATAGCAGCAACAGGTCGGAGTGAAACACAGGACTCACACAAGGTAACAATTAAGATAATGTAGAACATTAATTAAAATAATAATACAGCAAAAATAAAGTGATAAAGAAACTGACATTATTAATATATATATCTAAAGTTATGCTGTATGTCACGTGTGCATGACTCTCTATGGTCCCCGCCCAGGTACTGAACATTATGAATATTATATATGTATATAAAGTGATACTGTATGTCACATATGCATAGGGTTGGGTATCGTCTGAAATGTACCGAGTCCGGTTCTTATCGAGTCCGGTTCTTATCGATTCCCCATTTCGATTCCAAGATGGACCTAAAGGACGGAGATTTGACAACCGAGAAGGGATGTAGCCCTTTGACTACAGATGCTGTTACCGCTCTGTGACACTCCTCCGTCAGCTTTCCTTTTAAAGCCAAAGAGAACGGTGTGTCGCGGCGAGCTGCACCTGGCACTTCTGGACATGCAAGCTGCGGGGTGCTAGTGCTGGCTGTTGATGCCATACTCGGGCTCGGAGACCGCAAGCCATCAAAGACTGTACATTCTTTTATCTCGATGCCGTGCTGTCTGTTTGCTTCCATTAGAAAGTACTATCTATCTATCTATCTATCTATCTATCTATCTAGAAGGGCAACCTGACGAACAAGTTATTAACTTTGCACAGGCAATGCTCTGTGCCTTGTCTTTTCTTTTTCAATGTAGTGGAGCCACACTTTAGAGCGTTTACCGCGATCCATCTTTGGTGTTATGACGTGACTGAGCCGTGCATGCTGGTATCTAAACAAAACAAATCATACGCTGCTGTTCCGTTGATGCGTGACGTAGTCCTCACTTTACTATACAGGTCCTTTCAGATAGCTACGTAGCCTTAGCCTACGTCCGTGCAGATATGTAGGCTTTCTTTGCAATACTAAAGGGTTAGTCTACCGCGTTTAGGAAGCCTTAAGCAGAACCCAAATTATGTATTGTACCAAGCGTTTTGTTATCGGTTCTCATCTGGAACCGAGTCTCGGTTCCCAACCCAATGAATATAAAGTTATGTATGTCTCATATGCATGACCCTTTATGTCCCCCCCGGGTACTGAACATTATTAATGTTATATATGTATGTAAAGTTATTAATGTTATATATTTATGTAAAGTTATTAATGTTATATATTAATGTAAAGTTATTCATGTTATATATTTATGTAAAGTTATTAATGTTATATATTTGTGTAAAGTTATTAATGTTATATATTTATGTAAAGTTATTAATGTTATATATTAATGTAAAGTTATTCATGTTATATATTTATGTAAAGTTATTAATGTTATATATTTATGTAAAGTTATTAATGTTATATATTCTCCAGGTGCTGCAGACGGACCTCCGGAAGAAGCTCCTCGGCGTGCAGAAGCTGCAGGACCAGGCCTCAGCCAACCTGCAGGACTTCCTGTCCCAGAGGAAGCAGCTGCAGGACTACATTACCCAGATGTCCCTGTGGCTGAAGAGCATGGAGGACTCTCTGATGTCATCGCCCAGCGGCTCCGCCCCCGAGGACATCTGCAGGGTGAAGGTGGGTCAGACTGCAGAGTCTGTTCTGTGTGTAAACCTGCATGTTACTCCCCTGTGTTTCCTCCCCCCTGGTGTGTTATTAACGTGTCCCCCCCCCCCACCCCATGGTGCAGGAGGTGCAGAAGGAGCTGCAGACCCAGCAGGGGGGCCTGGACTCCAGCAGAGAGGCTCTGAACTCTCTCTGCAGGAAGTTCCCCTCCCAGGAGCTGGCTGATCTGGGGTCAGATCTCACCGACCTCATCAAGACCTTCGAGAGCCTGAACCAGCTGAGTGCCCGCACCCTGGGGGGGCTGCAGACTCACCTGCAGACACACTTCACAGGTGAGGGGGGGGGCTGCAGACTCACCTGCAGACACACTTCACAGGTGAGGGGGGGGGCTGCAGACTCACCTGCAGACACACTTCACAGGTGAGACGTTGTCCTTCCTGCAGAGTCACTCAATCTCACAGAATAACCCTTTCTGGATCCTGAAAGAGCTCTGTTCCCCGGAGCTGCTGCTCTCAGTAATACACATTAGTTTCAGTCGATCAGTCCCCCTCTGGAGAAGCTGCTCCTGCTGCAGGGTCACTGAGTGGAGATGATCCATCAGGAGGAGACCTGATGTTAATCCTGGTTCTCCTGGTTTCTCCCTGTTCTCCTGGTTCTCCTGGTTTCTCCCTGTTCTCCTGGTTCTCCTGGTTCTCCTGGTTTCTCCTGATTCTCCCTGTTCTCCTGGTTCTCCTGGTTTCTCCCTGTTCTCCTGGTTCTCCTGGTTTCTCCCTGTTCTCCTGGTTCTCCCTGTTCTCCTGGTTCTCCTGGTTCTCCTGGTTTCTCCCTGTTCTCCTGGTTCTCCTGGTTTCTCCCTGTTCTCCTGGTTCTCCTGGTTTCTCCCTGTTCTCCTGGTTCTCCTGGTTTCTCCTGATTCTCCCTGTTCTCCTGGTTTCTCCTGGTTTCTCCTAATTCTCCCTGTTCTCCTGGTTCTCCTGGTTCTCCTCAGACCTGGTGCAGGAGTTCCACCGCTGGCTGTCGGAGCAGAAGGAGATCGTGAAGGAGTGCTCGGACCGGTCCGGAGACACGAACATCGTGGAGAGAAAGCTGCAGAAACTCAAGGTCACTGCAAGATATATTTATACTTTATTAAAGATATCTGCACTGTCACTAAACTACACATTTCTATTTAACTATACGAATATATTTTACATCATTTTTCCTTCATGTTTCTTCTGTAAAGCTTTGATTTAAATTACGATAATTATTTATATTATTTTAGTTTTGTTATTTTATATGAGATTTTTGTACTTGCTTTTATTTTCATTTCATTTCCTCTGCACCAAAGCCAGCTGTGTGTGTGTGAATGCAGTGACCTCCTACCTGCCAACAGGTGTCAGTGTGGAGCTGTAACATATCTGTCTGTGCTCTCCGCAGGGTGCCATGCAGCGGGTAGAGGAGGGGGAGCAGCGCCTCACGGAGGTGTGTGAGGAGGGGGAGCAGCTGCTCCTCCACCTCCCAAAGGGCAGCGCGGGCCAGGTGCAGCAGCAGCTCTCCTCTCTGCAGCTGGACTGGGACGGCTTCGTGGAAACGTGCAGGCAGAACCAGCAGATCCTGGAGGACGGACACTCGCTGCTGCGCGGGTGAGGGGGGGGGGGGTGTGTAACACCTTTATTTAAACCTTTAAGGGGGAGACCCTGATCTGATAAACACCCATAATAACCCACGCTGACACAGACAGGACATTTAAACGTTCTGGAAAGTTCCTTATTCACTCAACTCATTTTGAGCTATATTTCACCAGAATCAGGAGATGCTGTGTTTCAATATGAGCCTCAAACGCTCAAAGGTTTCTGTGTTCTGATGTTAGTCGGTGATTTCTAATAAATATGTAAAAGAATATGTGTTTCATCTGAGATACAACTCAAAGTGAGATGTTTTGACTGAACAAGATGTCTAAACTCACTGCAGTGATATTTCTGGAGTTAGTACGTCTCATATCAGGAGAGACATGTTCTGACTAGATATCAGACACAGATACTGGGCAAGATCTCTAGTGTTTGTAGTGTAACGCCCCCCCGCTGTGTGCAGGTTGGACGGCCGTCTGAAGAAGCTGCGCTGGTGGCTGGACCTGATGGAGCAGAGGATGACCTCCGACCTGATGGAGGCTCTGCAGCGCGGCCCGGAGAGAGCAGCGCTGCAGCAGGTGGAGGAGTTCCAGCAGGAGGTGCTGAAGGAGAGGTGAGGAGTGTTTGGAGATACTCAGATTGTCTCCAAATCTGTTTTTGTCACGTGCTCAGGCTCTATCTGCTGATTTAGGCAAGTAGAATAAAGCTATTTGGACGTAAAAATCGCTATTTTAAGATTATATTTAGGTTATTTTTCCTGAACAAAGCGTGGGTCACAAATGATTGGTTTGAGAGCCGTCCGAAAGGTTAAAACCTGACAGATATTTCTGTTTTTACAGTTTCTGTTTGTGATGAATTATGTCATTTTAGGTGTTTTCTTTTTTTTAAGAAACTATACAATTTAAGAAATGTCAATATTCGAAGTAAATCAAATGAGTTACATTATTCTGATCTGTTCAATAAATAATTCCTTCTCTTCTCGTGGTAAACGGTGAAATATAAACTTAGTTTGGGTTATTTTTCCTGATAAAACGCTTCCTGACGGATGATGTGTTCATGGACCGTCGGACAGTTGAAACTCTGAAGATCATTCCGGTCTGTGATCAATGTTTTCATTCTAGAGATGTTTTAAAAGCATTTCCTCCCATCTGCAGGAACTCATTTCACGTTTATATACAAACATCCATAAATTACATTAGTCCCTTTTCCAATTAGTTTAATTAAAGACGTGTTCAAGGACCGTCAGAAACTTTAAACTCAATAACAAACGTTTCTGTTTTAAACTAAATTAAAGTGAAATTAGTTTGATCTGTTCAATGAATCCTTTCTTCTCATGGTAAACGGTTAAATATGAACTTATATAACAATAATAATAATTCCTGTTTTTTCAGTTCCTGTCTGTGATCAATGGTTTCATTTAGATATTTATTAACCCTTCCTCCCCCTGCAGGGACTCTTTTGAGCGTCTGTGTCAGGAGGCGCAGGCACTGAACGAGGGGGGGCGGGGCGACGGCAGTGAGACCCGGGTGTCTGCGCAGCTGCAGTCGCAGTCGCAGGCTCTGCTGCGCAGGGCGAAGGAGAAGCTGCGCTGCGTTCAGGTGTCTCTGCAGGAGACGCTGGGGTACGAGGAGGCACTGCAGAGCTCCAGGCTGTGGCTGAGCAGCGTGACGGAGCGCCTGCACCTCCTCAGCTCCACCACCGGCAGCAAGGAGGCGCTGGAGAGCAGGCTGGCTGCCGTGCAGGTGAGAACACCCTCCCTGGAGCTCCTCAAATTAATTACAATGTTTTATATATGTTTTATATGCAAGTAGTTTATTTGAAGTGTCATTTCAGAAGGTTAGGACTTCAGAAGGTTAGGACTTCAGAAGGTTAGGACTACAGATGGTTAGGACTTCAGAAGGTTAGGACTTCAGAAGGTTAGGACTACAGAAGGTTAGGACTACAGAAGGTTAGGACTACAGAAGGTTAGGACTTCAGAAGGTTAGGACTACAGAAGGTTAGGACTACAGAAGGTTAGGACTTCAGAAGGTTAGGACTACAGAAGGTTAGGACTACAGAAGGTTAGGACTTCAGAAGGTTAGGACTTCAGAAGGTTCAGCGAGATCAAAAAAAGAAATCCTTTCAGTGCAAATCTTACAATCATCAAGCAGTAATAACCAGAGATGTTAAAGTACACACATCCTTTACTCAAGTAGAAGTACACACATCCTTTACTCAAGTAGAAGTACACACATCCTTTACTCAAGTAGAAGTACACACATCCTTTGCTCAAGTAGAAGTACACACATCCTTTACTCAAGTAGAAGTACACACATCCTTTACTCAAGTAGAAGTACACACATCCTTTACTCAAGTAGAAGTACACACATCCTTTGCTCAAGTAGAAGTACACACATCCTTTACTCAAATAGAAGTACACACATCCTTTGCTCAAGTAGAAGTACACAAATCCTTTACTCAAGTAGAAGTACACACATCCTTTGCTCAAGTAGAAGTACACACATCCTTTGCTCAAGTAGAAGTACACACATCCTTTGTGTTCAACATGTAAGAAGTAGAAAGTAAAAAGTGGTCAGAAAAATAAGTAGTGGAGTAAAGTACTGATACCAGAAACATGTACTGAAGTACAGTAACAAAGTATTTGTACTCCAATACTTCCCACCTCTGGTAATAATAAAATAAAATACAAATACATACAGTATATGTATATATACACTTAAGACAATTGTATATACAATGATGAAATGCAATATAAATAAAATGCATGTATAATGAAAATAAGTGAAATAGGATAGACTGAGGTTTAAGATGACTGTGGACATGTGGTGATGCTTTTATTTTGGCGTTCCAGGACATCCTGCTGATGAAGGGGGAGGGGGAGGTGAAGCTCAACATGACTCTGGGGAAAGGAGAGCAGGTTCTCAAGCACAACCGGGGAGAGGAGGGGGAGAATATCTGCTCCCAGCTGCAGGGCCTCAAGGACAACTGGAGCAACATGATGATGATCTCCATCAGCTGTCACAGGTACGCACGCACGCACGCACGCACGCACGCACACACACACAGTAGTACAGTATATAACAGTGTCCCACCCACACTGATAATAATAGATAAGATTTGTACTGTAGCGCCTTTCAAGGAACCCAAGGCCGCTTTACATGAGTGAACAAACAAACAAACAAACAAACAAGAAGGGCAAATAATAAAGAAAAAAGGGTAAAAAAATGGGTTAGGGGTCAAACAACACTAATCTCCATCAGCTGCCACACACACACACACACACACACACACACACACACACACACACACACAGTATCTAACCCTCTCTCTCTCTCCAGCCGGTTGGAGATGGCTTCCTCTCAGTGGACTCTCTTCCTGGCCTCCCATCAGCAGCTCCTTCAGTGGATGCAGTCTGTGGAGCAGGAGCTGGGGGGGGCGCTCCCTCCTCAGGTGGGTCTGAAGGAGAAGGCCTCTCTGCTGGAGCGTCTGAGGGGGGTGCAGAGTGACGTGGAGGCTCACGCCCCCCCCCTCTCCCGCCTGATGGAGCAGGCCCTGGAGCTGCACGAGAAGACGGGAGATCAGACGTTTGGACCCGAGGCTCGAGGAGAACTGAGCGCCAAGTACAGCGACATCTCTGCCAGTGTGAAGGTGAGGAAATACGGGGGTCCTGGAGGTCGCTGAAGATATAGAAATATATATATATATATATATATATATATATATATATATATATATATCAAGCAGGTTATATATCCAGTCCTTGGGGTTACCATGTCTCTTTGCTCATGAAAGGGCAAGGTGCAGGTGATGCAGAGCATCGTGTCGGAGCACCAGCAGTACCTGGACGCTGTCAGGGACTTCAGTGATTGGCTGCTGTCGGCCAGAGAGGAGCTGCAGCGCTGGAGCGAGCTGAGCGGAGACTCTGCCAGCGTGCACAGGAAGCTGTGCAAAGTCCAGGTAAAGAGAGTTTCATATTTCCTGCAGGCTCTTCTGCCCTCTCATGAATCCACAGAGCCAGAGGACTGATACCTTCACCATTGATCAGATCTGACGTGTGTAATACTTGATTCCCTGCAGGAGCTGCTGGACAGTAAGCAGCGCGGCAGGGAGCGTCTGAGCCGTGTGCAGAGGTGTGGGGCGGTGTGCAGAGACCACACGGGGGCGGGGGGGGTTCGAGGCTCTGGAGAGAGAGGAGGCGGGGCTTGTGTCCTGCTGGGAGCAGTGGGAGCGCTCTGCCCTGCAGACCAGAGCCTCGCTGGAGACCGCTCTGTCTCAGATCAGCTGCTCCGAGCAGGAGTTCAGCAGCCTGTCTGCGCAGATGGAGCTGCAGCTGCACGACTTCAGCCGGCTGCTCAAAGACTGCCGGCTGCGCATCACCCAGGCCGAGAGGCTGACCGAGGGGGAGGAGGCGGTGAAGGGCTGGACCCTCGCTAAGGTACGTCTGAAGTTAAGATAAGATAAGATAAGAAGTACTTTAATGATCCCAATCTGGGAAATGTTTGCGTTGCAGCATAAAAACACAAGGCACTGAAATTAAAAGACTATAAATAAACAATCCAACATGTAAACATCTCAAATAGAAATAAAGTAGCATTAAATATAATAATAAATACTGTATATCTGAGGGGAGGAGGCGGTGAGGGGCTGGACCCTCGCTAAGGTGGGGGTTAGATCACACACACACACACACACACACACACACACACACACACACACACACACACACACACACACACACACACACACACACACACACACACACACACACACACACACACACACACTGCTGCTGAGGGTCTTCAGGGTGCATAAAGGAAACATGTTTTGTAGAATCATTATATGTGTTTTGTGCAGGACGTAGTGGAGGAGCTGCAGAAGGCGGAGCCGGCTTCAGAGCATCTGAAGACTCAGCTGAACGACCTGTGCAGATTCAGCAGAGACGTGGGGGCGCAGTCAGAGAGGGTCTCTGCGCTCATCAAGGAGTACAACAGGTGGGATAAAGTATACACTATTGCGGCTTTCACACCAACGCGGTTCCAGGGCCGGTTCGGAGCTACAGCCTGAAAAGCACCGGTTTGTCCTGTTCACACCGCAGCGGAGCCGCCTCTAAGCTCCGAAACCCGGTGCTTTTCAAGCACCAAAAAATTGTCGGTCTAGAAGCAAGAACCGCATACGTCACTCTTACGTCACGCTTACGTCTGAGGGGGGCGAGATTAACCTGAGCTAACAGTTAAAGGCGAGTACGGCAAATGAAAGTTGTAACAAGCAGTAGCGCTGAGCAAAGTGACTAGAAGGCAACCACACACTTATACAAAACCACACTTTATAAAGTCAGGCAACACTAACCAGGCTTCGTGTGTGATTCTGTTTATTTGTACCTTACTTTGACCATCCGTTCGCTGTTATTGATCATTGTGGAGAGCAGGCAGACGTTTTGTTTGTTATTATAGCAGCTATCGGATGGAATCAATACATGGGCTGCACAGGTTGTCATGTCCGACTATCACAAGTAGAATCATAATGAAAAATACGCCGGTAAAATGTGCCTGTAGAAAACGGCTTAGCACGTAGTCAGTTTAGCTTCGGTTGCTATGCTAACATCACCCATGTTATACCAGAGAAACGTTCATAACAGCGTTGTGATGCCAAACACCGTCAATTCAGACTGACACACATTCACTTAAGGGGAACTGGGGATATGTATCAGCTGCTTGTGTGACAGTCAGACAGTGAATACTTTAGAGCCGTGTGAGCTAACCCGGAGCTAACGGGAGAATACACTCCCGTGGAAGAGCAGCCAGCACTGCAGCGGTCGATAAATGCCGCTGAAACACATTAATAAACAATGAACCACGGCACTCTGGAGAAAAGTATAAGGTTGGAGAAGTCATTATTTAATTTAATCTGGCTTCGTATGATTAAAAGCAACACGATCATCGACCCGACGCAGTCCCCAGTTGTTATTGTTGTTGTTGTGAGCGCCATAACGCCGTTGGGGAGAAAATCAGCGACGTAAACGGTGACGTCATGACGCAGCAGCGGCAGCTCCAGTCGGGCTCTGGGTGGTGGGAACAAAACGGGGGCTGAAAAGAAAAAACGGTTCCGAACCAGAAAAGCTCTAGAGGAGCTACAACGGGAACCAGGTTGGTGTGAAAGAGGCATATTTAAGGAAAATGCTACAGCTACCAGAACACAGATGTATGATTTCATATGGATTCCCAGTGGTGTGTGTAACTGTGTGTGTGTGTGTAACTTTGCTTGCTGCTGTGTGTGCGCAGTGTGAGTCTGCAGGCGGGCAGGGAGTGTCAGAGCAAACAGAAGCTTCTGGATCAGGGTTTCCGCTCCGCCTGCAGAGACTTCCAGCAGTGGCTCGTCAACGCCAAGATCAACACGGCAAAGTGCTTCGACGTTCCCCAGAACCTCAGCGAGGCGATCGCCAGCCTCCAGAAGATCCAGGTAACTCAGAGACAACACACACACACACTCTGCAGAAGATCCAGGTAACTCAGAGACAACACACACACACACACACACACTCTGCAGAAGATCCAGGTACACAACTCAGACCCTCTGCAGGAACCACAGGTGTGTCACCACTGATCCAATGTTCCCCTAGCTGCAGAACTGCTCTAATCTCATTATATCAGAGGCAGGATGTCTTTGTGAAGAAAGCCAACAGATCAGTCAGTGTGCGATCCTTCCAGAATATAACTGAGAATGACTTTAGTGGAGCCTCGTGTTTCACATGTTTCATTCATGCATCCAGGCCCTGGTTCCTGCATCTGTTTCATACTGTTAGTGTTGGAGGTATGGATCAACCTGGAGGATTGATTCATGCTGTGAACGAGGCGCTAACTGCAGCCTCGTAAAGCCTCGACCTCTGTCCTGACCTCAGAGATGTTTACCTTCCTGTTCCACCTGTGTTCCTCCCCATGCTCCATCTGTGTGTTCCTCCCCATGCTTCATCTGTGTGTTCCTCCCCATGCTCCATCTGTGTGTTCCTCCCCATGCTCCATCTGTGTGTTCCTCCCCATGCTCCATCTGTGTGTTCCTCCCCATGCTTCATCTGTGTGTTCCTCCCCATGCTCCATCTGTGTGTCCCTCCCCATGCTCCATCTGTGTGTTCCTCCCCATGCTCCATCTGTGCGTTCCTCCCCATGCTCCATCTGTGTGTTCCTCCCCATGCTTCATCTGTGTGTTCCTCCCCATGCTCCATCTGTACGTTCCTCCCCATGCTCCATCTGTGTGTTCCTCCCCATGCTTCATCTGTGTGTTCCTCCCCATGCTCCATCTGTGTGTTCCTCCCCATGCTTCATCTGTGTGTTCCTCCCCATGCTTCATCTGTGTGTTCCTCCCCATGCTCCAGGAGTTCCTGAGCGACAGGGATGCGGGGCAGCAGCAGCTGGGGGCCGTGCAGCGCAGCGGGGAGCTCCTTTGCAGCACTGCAGAGAAGGAGAGGGTGGACGCGGTCCGAGGGAAGATGAGCTCCTTCAGAGAGGACTGGAGGAACATGATGAGCAGCCTGCACCACCGGGAGAACAGCCTGCAGGTAATATACCTGAATACACACCTGAATACAAACCTGAATACACACCTGAATACACACCTGAATACAAACCTGAATACACACCTGAATACACACCTGTCGATATGAATAAAAGCATTTTTTTTATACAGTTTAAGTCAGGGAAACATCTATTTCTTTAAACTAAATACTTCTTTGCAATGTTCCTGTCGTCAGCTTTCAGGCGACTGTTCACTTCAGAGTCCATTGCACATTTGACTATTTCTTATACACGTGGAATGAGAGACTAGAGTAGGATTTTAGGATTAGCTGTGCCTGTTATTGCAGATCTTGGCATACATTGAGTCTTGTCAAATTAAATCTTTGTCCATTTTTCATAAGATCCCTGATTGTGAAGGTGTAAACGTTGTTCTACTGTAAATATCCAGGGTTTATTCTGATGTATTTGGTCACATGCAGGATATTAAAGAGCTGCATGATTATCCATCCTCAATTAATCCCGAGATGATTTCCCTAGTTGGTATCTTAACGTTGTGTTGTGTCTCTCAGACTGTCTTGTCTCAGATGAGGGATTTCGAGGAGAGTGCGGAGCCTCTGCAGGAGAGCCTGGACGCCACAGAGCTGTCGGTGCATCAGAGCTGCAGCCGGCTGCACGACCTGAGCGCCAAGAAGCAGGAGCTGCACAAACTGCAGGTAATAACCCCCCCCATCATCATCATGTTCAGGTGCAGCAGACCCTCAGATCATCAGAACCTCAGATCATCAGTGAACGGTTTCTGCAAGTTTAAAATGCCAGATTCAGCTTGCAGAAACCACAGAGTGCCCACATCTGCAGAGTCTCCATCCAGCTGTTTCAGTGTTAGAGAATCACTGCTAATCTTTAGAAAGCTCTGCCATCAGCTGACTAACAGCCATGTGCTTCCTGTTGACACGCTGCCATCTGTCTGCTGCTCTCATGTACCTCTAACTGTGTCTATAGCTCCTGCTTCATCTTTCAAATTAAATATTTTAAATGACTGCTCTGTGTAACCTGCTGTCTTCTGTCTGTCTTCTCTCTGTCTTCTCTCTGTCTGCTCTCTGTCTGCTCTCTGTCTGCTCTCGGTCTGCTCTGTGTAACCTGCTGTCTGCTCTCTGTCTGCTCTGTGTAACCTGCTGACTGCTCTGTGTAACCTGCTGTCTTCTGTCTGTCTTCTCTCTGTCTGCTCTCGGTCTGCTCTCTGTCTGCTCTCTGTCTGCTCTGTGTCTGCTCTGCTGTCTGCTCTGTGTCTGCTCTGCTGTCTGCTCTCTGTCTGCTCTGTGTCTGCTCTGCTGTCTGCTCTCTGTCTGCTCTGTGTCTGCTCTGCTGTCTGCTCTCTGTCTGCTCTGCTGTCTGCTCTCTGTCTGCTCTGTGTAACCTGCTGTCTGCTCTCTGTCTGCTCTGTGTAACTTGCTGTCTGCTCTGTGCTGTCTGCTCTGTGTAACCTGCTGTCTGCTCTCCTCCTCTGCTTGCTTTGATCAGAGTGTCCTGGAGGATCTGTCCTCCGTGGATCTTCAGCTCAGGTCTCTCAGAGAGAAGGCCCAGCGGCTGTGGGACGACCACGCTGCGGGGAAGGCTTTCATCCACCGAGCGTCTCAGCTCTCTGCTCAGTACCTGGCGCTGACCAGCCTCACCAAGGTACAATTCTGCTGCAGCATGCAACCTGTAGCCTGCAGCCTGCAACCTGCAACCTGCAACCTGTAGCCTGGAACCTGCAGCCTACAGCCTGCAACCTGCAGCATGCAACCTGCAACCTGTAGCCTGCAACCTGCAGCATGCAACCTGCAGCCTGCTGTGCACGGGGGGGGGTTCTTCTACTGCTTCTCTGGGGATAGAGCTGCAGGAGATTGAGACACTAACTGTAAAAAGCACCTGTAGAATAACGACACTGATTTCTCACTGCACGTCTTAAAAAATCACCAAAATGACACCAAAAACTCACAGCCAATAACTGTATGTATAAACAGGAATAACTGTGTGTGTGTGTGTGTGTGTGTGTGTGTGTGTGTGTGTGTGTGTGTGTGTGTGTGTGTGTGTGTGTGTGTGTGTGTGTGTGTGTGTGTGTGTGTGTGTGTGTGTGTGTGTGTGTGTGTGTGTGTGCAGGAGAAGGCCTCCCGTATCGAGCGTATCTCCTCAGAGCACCACATGTTCTCTGAGGGTCTGGAGGGGCTTCAGGACTGGATCTCTGACACCAGACACACTCTGACCACCTACTGCACCCCCACTGCAGACAAGCAGCTGCTGGACAGCAGGGTGATCAAGCTGGAGGTACACACACACACACACACACACACACACACACACACACACACACACACACACACACACACACACACACACACACACACACACAAACCACACACACACACTCTTTCTGACTGCAGTGCATCAACAGTTTCTATAATAAAGTTATATCAACACTATAGGAACAAAACAAACTGCCTCCTCTGTTTTCTTTTCTTATGTACTGCACCCGATGTACAGTACATAACGTTTAACACCCATATCATTAATTTAACTCTACCAACACCAATCCGTTACCTGTACAAGTCCTCATTGAAACTGGTCCCTAGGTAACATTATGTAAGTATAATCTGGAAAATGTACTGTAAGTAGTGACATGCAGTGAATGTGCAGGCGCTGCTGAGTGCCCGTCAGGAGAAGGAGATCCAGCTGAAGATGCTGATCACTCGAGGAGAGTCCGTGCAGAGGAACACCTCAGCTGAGGGGGTTCCTGTCCTGCAGGAGAACCTCCGGGAGCTGAAGGAGTCCTGGGACCACCTGCTGTGCGCCTCCATCCACTGCAAGAGGTGAGCGCTGAAGATACTGACAGCACTGTCTGTAGTGACCACCATATCCATTTGTTGTATCCTTTAGTCTGTGATTCACTCGTGGGCTGACCGATGAAGAGACGCGTGTTGCTGAGAGAGAAATAAAGGAATGTCCAGATGCGATTGAAAAGTAAAATATTGCAGCATCTCTCCTTTTATGCTGCAAAACCCGACCTGCAAATACACACAATCTCATGCTATAAATCTACTCTAAAATGATAAATGAATAAACTAAGGAAATATCTCCTACACTGTTTAACTAGTCTAAAAACCACAGTTCCACAGCGTCTAAATGCTGCTCTGTCTCGCCAGGTCTTCACAGTCGTTTTTATTTTAGAAAGCTATTGATATGAACGATGAACCCCCAGACTCAGAGACAGTTTCATCCCACAGGCCATGAGACTGTTAAACACATGAACTATGTGAAGATCATCCATAAACATTCATCTGGCTTATTTATCTAATATCAGATTCCATTTACTTGTTTATAGACTCTCTTGCACTATTTCTATTTTATTTATATTAACGTGCACATCTCAAAACATTCTCTTACACTATTTGATCTGTTTCATTAGTTCTTTGTCCTATATATATTCATGTTGCTCTGTTGGAGGAGGACTTCAGTTTGTCATTGACGCATCTCCACTGAAGCTGCTGAGCTCATGGTGAGAGAGACTTGGATCTTGAATTAGAGCCGTCATCAGATAAAGAAAATCTCAACTATCTCTTATAACTGTGTGTGGACCAACGGATCATTTAAAGGGGACCTATCATGCAAAATGCACTTTTGTACGTCTTTTATACATGAATATGTGTCCCCGGTGTTCCAAGTGTCAGAAAACACAACCCTCTCTATTTTCCTCCATACCCAAATCTCTAAAAAAGGGGCTGCAACGGATCTGATAAAAACTGATCCAGATTTGAACACTGTCCTGACGTCAGGACGGTGGCGCTACGGCTATTGGGCCAACTCCACCAATCAGGAGGAGACAGCGACGGCCATTGCCGTTCGAAAGCGCTGGAGACGCTGTAGTACATATGCCAGGCCTGTTGATGGTGCTGTTCTCACTGAATCTGCCCTTGCTAAAACAGGGATAAAAAATGTCAAATTGAGCGAAATGAGGCATGGCTAAAATGCATGATCTGTTTGGTATTTTGAAAAAAAAAAAGTATAAATATGCCTTATATAGGTATGGTCCTACACTATATTATTCAAATATAGCATGATAGGTCCACTTTAAAGTAATGAAGTTGTTAGAGCTTGTATTTAGTTTTGATAAAAAAGGCCACCTGGTCGTGACATCTGTAGTCAACTACATAAAAGACTACAATTCCCACAGTCCCTTCTCTAAAAGAGACAGAGATGGGCAACCTGTCAGAAAGACTCCTTCAAGGGACAGTTTTTAACCGTTAAGATACCGTTTCAGGTTCCATTTAAAGTTATAGAAGCTACGTTTTTCATTGCCATATCTCCACTGGAGCTGCTGAGCACACGCTGATAGAGCCTTGAATTGAATGTTGAAGATCACACTGTACTGTAACCCACAGCCAGCTGGAGGGCTCCCTGTCTCAGTGGACCAGCTACCAGGAGGACGTGCAGCAGTTTGTGAGCTGGGTGGAGCGGGTGGAGGACAGTCTGGACCCCGTGGACAAACTGTGTCCCGAGATGAGAGATAAGACTGCCAACCTGAGCAAAGCAAAGGTACTGCAACCCTCACTCATTCAGTTATGATGCTCCAAATATCAAACTCAGGTCCGCTGCAACTCTCACTACTTTGAAATCCAGGCTGAAGACTTTTCTTTTTGCCGCTGCTTTGAATTGAACTATTCACATCTCACACTGCACTGTAACTATTCATGTTTTCATTATCTTTGCTTTTTAATGCCATTTTATGATATGTTTCAGCTGCACTCTTTCTTCATGCTCTGTCTTTCATGTGTGTAAAGCACTTTGAATTGCCTCGTGTTGAAAGGTGCTGAATGAATACACTTTCACTCGTACTGTAATCACGTCACTCTCTACCGCATGCATCCTTTCACCCAGGAGGAAGAGTTGATTAGCTTGGTGTCCCCAAAGAACATCCTTTTAAATAAACAGCTTTTATTTCTCACTTTGATAAGTTTATACTTTACTCACCTCCAGCTGGCGATGGTTTAGCCCCAGCAGCCTGTAGACTTTGATAGATATGCCTGCCATGTTGGTCCTTCCTCTATAAGGCCAAGCCAGTTTCATCACATTTTCTTGAATGCATTGTGTGAGAAATGTCTTTTTTAAACTGTAAAGTAAAAATGTAAACTGTGAAAGAAAGGTATATGTATTATTAAGATAGAGAAATACCCTAACTCCTTCATCATTTATTCTAGACAAGTCATCTTTGTTGTCTAAACTTATGTTTCGGGGGCCTAGAAATCCATTGGACTTGCCCTAATTGCAATACCATGATTACATAATTGTAAAATCCAATATTTTGGATGCGTGATTCTATTAAAACCCTCAGAATGGGCCACCCGTTTCAAGTCCACTAAGTTCCGTAATATTTAATAAGTATCATTTAGTTTCCTTTTACTGGAACAAGGCTTCAAGGGGCGGCAGTGGTTCAGTCTGTAGGGGATTGGACTTTGGACCGAAGGGTTGCCGGTTCACGTCCCGATCGGGCCAAAAAATACGGAGTGTGGACTGGTACTGGAGAGGGGCCAGTTCATCTCCTGGGCCACTGCCGAAGTGCCCTTGAGCAAGGCACCTAACCCCCAACTGCTCACTGGCGCCGGCTAGACCGCTCTGACCTCTCAACTGCATGTGCATGTGTGCATATAACTGTGTGTGTATTTGTATGTGCATGTTGTAAAAAGTGTGTACTGTGTGTACTGTATGACCTGTATAAAAACGCATGTGTGTGTACGACAGAGTGGAAACTGAATTTCCCCCTCGGGGGATTAATAAAGGTCCATCTTCTTCTTCTTCTTCTTCATGATATCCTCAAAAACACTTAAACACAAGAATATGAATCGTCACCATTTTCAGTCATTCAGAAGTTGGTGGCAGAGAATTTCATTTGTGATCTTATGTCTGTGTGTTTGCAGCTGCTGCACGAGGAGGTTCTGAGTCACAGCGCTCTGCTGGACACCATCTCTGTGAAGAGTGGGAACCTCTCTGAGAACTACGTGAACCAGCTGGAGCTGCAGGAGCTGCAGGAGCGCTACGAGGCCGCCAGGGACAACGCCAGAGTACACATATATATATATCATATACAACATGTTCAGTGTTAGATAAAGTGTTGTGCAGCTGTTTTAAAATCATATATTTACACAACAACACAGGGTGTAAACACATGTTGACAGAAGGCAGGTGAGATCCATCAGCAGGATATTAAATTAGATCACATTTAAAACAGTTTTGTCGGGTAGTTTTTACAAACAAGGAATACTGTAAGTGCATAGCATTAGAGTCATTGAAATACAAAGTAAAATATTGCAGTTTAATCTTTCCAAAGCATTGGCTGCAGTAAACACAGAAGTTGCTGGAAAATAATTGATATCCTGTGCTCCCTGTGGTGCTCAGAGTGCGGTGTGCAGAGCCGAGGAGCTGGTGGAGTCCCACCTGGAGTACCAGCGGGACCTCCAGAGTTTCGAGGATTGGCTGGAGGAGGAGCAGGAGACGCTGGGCTGCTACACCCAGCTGGAGGGAGACGTGGAGATCCTGGAGGACACTCTGCAGAGGCTGCAGGTCAGAGAGGACTCTTTAAAGCAGAACGTCTTTACCTTGTCTGACAGATGGGAAAAGTTTGAGAATTTGACTAAGAATGTAGTAACTGTAGTTCTTTGTGGACACATGCAATGATGGGATCGTGAACTATATTGTGAGAACAAGCTAACTTTAACCCTCTAAGAGTTCAGCCAAATCTCACCAGAAACTGTTATATATTGTTTTAAAGTTTGAAAAGAGAGTGCTACCCCCCCCCCCCCCCCTAACTCTAAGTTCTCTAAGACTTCAAGACTCATATCATTTAATACAATATCCTTTATATTTGTCAGCATAATGCTTAAGGTAGATTACTAGGCCAATACTTTAGCTTCTGAATGCAGGACCTTTAGTGTAACGGAGTATTTCTACACTTCATCAGTTACTGCAGCGTTCCTACATCGTAAAGAAACTGCTGGTTAATTCTCCAGGCAGCCTGAGAGAGTCTGATTCACTCCTTCGGATAAATAAAGTCTTATCTTATCTTATCTTATCTTAACCCCCCCTGATGTCCTCCAGGAGCTGCAGCTGCGGTGCTCGGAGGGCCAGGCCCTGCTCAACATGCTGCTGCTCAGCAGGGGGCATGTGGTCCCCTGGGGGGTCCCTCAGACGGAGGACCGTGTCCTGGAGACCCTGCAGCAGCAGTGGGGGGGGTACCAGGCTCGGCTGGGGGACACCCGCTCACAGCTCAACAGCACCCTGGCCAAACTGAGGCAGATGGAGCAGAAGTTCCAGAGGCTGGACAGCTGGCTGAGGAGCATGGAGGCCAAAGCCCAGATCAGGACTCACCGCAGGGGGGAGAGGGACACCAAGGAGGCCCAGCTGCTGCTCGTTAAGGTAAAGAGAAAGAGAGAGAGACACCAAGGAGGCACCTGTAGAAGGTCAGGACCCTCTCTATGGTGCACCTGTAGAAGGTCAGGACCCTCTCTATGGTGCAACTGTAGGAGGTCAGGACCCTCTCTATGGTGCACCTGTAGAAGGTCAGGATACTCTCTATGGTGCACCTGTAGAAGGTCAGGATCCTCTCTATGGTGCACCTGTTAGAAGGTCAGGATACTCTCTATGGTGCACCTGTAGAAGGTCAGATCCTCTCTATGGTGCACCTGTAGAAGGTCAGGATCCTCTCTATGGTGCACCTGTAGAAGGTCAGGATCCTCTCTATGGTGCACCTGTAGAAGGTCAGGATCCTCTCTATGGTGCACCTGTAGGAGGTCAGGATTGCTCTCTATGGTGCACCTGTTAGAAGGTCAGGATCCTCTCTATGGTGCACCGTAGGAGGTCAGGATGCTCTCTTATGCGTGACACCTGTAGAAGGTCAGGATCCTCTCTATGGTGCACCGTAGAAAGGTCAGGATCCTCTCTATGGTGCACCTGTAGAAGGTCAGAATGCTCTCTATGGTGCTCCTGTAGAAGGTCAGAATGCTCTCTATGGTGCACCTGTAGAAGGTCAGGATGCTCTCTATGGTGCACCTATAGAAGCTCAGGACCCTCTCTATGGTGCACCTGTAGAAGGTCTGGATGCTCTCTATGGTGCACCTGTAGAAGGTCAGGACCCTCTCTATGGAGCACCTGTAGAAGGTCAGGATGCTCTCTATGGTGCACCTGTAGAAGGTCAGGATACTCTCTATGGTGCACCTGTAGAAGGTCAGGATCCTCTCTATGGTGCACCTGTAGAAGGTCAGGACCCTCTCTATGGAGCACCTGTAGAAGGTCAGGATACTCTCTATGGTGCACCTGTAGAAGGTCAGGATCCTCTCTATGGTGCACCTGTAGAAGGTCAGGATACTCTCTATGGTGCACCTATAGAAGGTCAGGATGCTCTCTATGGTGCACCTGTAGAAGGTCAGGATCCTCTCTATGGAGCACCTGTAGAAGGTCAGGATGCTCTCTATGGTGCACCTGTAGAAGGTCAGGATCCTCTCTATGGTGCACCTGTAGAAGGTCAGGATGCTCTCTATGGTGCACCTGTAGAAGGTCAGGATCCTCTCTATGGTGCACCTGTAGAAGGTCAGGATGCTCTCTATGGAGCACCTGTAGAAGTTGCAGAGTATCCTGGAGTCCATGTTGAACCTCCTCAGCCTGCGGAGGAAGAAGAGCCGCTGTGGAGCTGTCTTAGTGACGGTGTTTGTGTGAAGACTGTCCATAGCAGCGTAAAACGTGTCTGGTTTCTACTGGTTGTCTCAGGGCTGGCAGGAGGAGGTTCTGGTGTACAGGAGGAGATTTGAGGGGGCCTCTCTCTGCTGGCTCAGCAGGTTCTGGACGAGACTCACATCAGCAGCGGATCAGCACCAGAGCCACTCAGATCACAGCCCGGTACCACGAGCTGCTGCTGCACCTCATGGTAACACACACACACACACACACACACACACACACACTCACACTCACACTCACACTCACACTCACACTCACACTCACACTCACAGATGTGATTTATAGGAGCTGCAAGGATCCCAGTTCAGGTCTGGGTTGCAGAGCCTCCCCTCATGTGTGTAGTTTGTTGTGTATAGTTTGTTGTGTGTAGTTTGTAACTCTGTTGTGTCCTCCTGGTTCAGGATCTGATCAAGCAGCTGACGGAGGAGGTGCTGCTGATGGAGGAGGCTCAGAGTGTCTCCATCAGCTTCTCAGAGTGGCTCAGAGCGGCTCAGAGTAACTTCAGCTCCTCCTGCAGCCTGGAGGCTGTGGACCGCTCTGCCCATGGAGAGGAAGATGAAGAGGCTGGAGGTGAGCCACTAACCAGTTTAATGACCAGTTTAATAACCAGTGGTTAACCTACCACAGGCTGCTCTGCAGACCAGTTAATATCACCTCACCTCCAACACTCTGGACCCCTTAAACAGATCAGTAAAGAAACTATAAAACTGTTACTAAAACTAGTTTAAAATGTCTATCAACACTTGAAAAATAACTAACTAGCTAACTAACCAACTAACCAGCTAACTGACTGAGTAACTAACTAACCAACTAACTAACCAGCTAACTGACTGAGTAACTAACTAACCAACTAACTAACCAGCTAACTGACTGACTAACTAACTAACCAACTAACTAACCAGCTAACTGACTGAGTAACTAACTAACCAACTAACTAACCAGCTAACTGACTGAGTAACTAACTAACTAACCAGCTAACTGACTGACTAACTAACTAACCAACTAACTAACCAGCTAACTGACTGAGTAACTAACTAACCAACTAACTAACCAGCTAACTGACTGACTAACTAACCAACTAACTAACCAGCTAACTGGCTGAGTAACTAACTAACCAACTAACTAACCAGCTAACTGACTGACTGACTAACTAACTAACCAACTAACTAACCAGCTAACTGACTGAGTAACTAACTAACCAACTAACTAACCAGCTAACAAACTGACTAACTAACTAACCAACTAACTAACCAGCTAACTGACTGACTAACGAACTAACCAACTGATTAACCAGCTAACTGACTGACTAACTAACTAACCAACTGATTAACCAGCTAACTGACTGACTAACTAACTAACCAACTAACTAACCAGTAACTGACTGACTAACTAACCAACTAACTAACCAGTAGTTGACTGACTGACTAACTAACCAACTAACTAACCAGCTAACTGGCTGAGTAACTAACTAACCAACTAACTAACTAACCAGCTAACTGACTGACTAACTAACCAAACTAACTAACCAGCTAACTGGCTGAGTAACTAACTAACCAACTAACTAACTAACTAACTGACTGACTGACTAACTAACCAACTAACTGAGTGACTAACTAACCAACTAACTAACCAGCTAACTAGCTAACTAACTAACCAACTAACTGACTGAGTAACTAACTAACCAACTAACTAACCAGCTAACTGACTGACTAACTAACTAACCAACTAACTGACTGAGTAACTAACTAACCAACTAACTAACCAGCTAACTGACTGACTAACTAACTAACCAACTAACTAACCAACTAACTAACCAGCTAACTAGCTAACTAACTAACTAACTGACTGAGTAACTAACTAACCAACTAACTAACCAGCTAACAGACTAACTAACTAACTAACCAACTAACTGACTGACTAACTAACCAACTAACTAACCAACTAACTGACTGAGTAACTAACTAACCAACTAACTAACCAACTAACTGACTGACTAACTAACTAACCAACTAACTGAGTAACTAACTCACCAACTAACTAACCAACCAACTAACTGACTGACTAACTAACCAACTAACTAACCAACTAACTGACTGACTAACTAACTAACCAACTAACTAACCAGCTAACTGACTGAGTAACTAACTAATCAACTAACTAACCAGCTAACTGACTGAGTAACTCACTAACCAACTAACTAACCAGCTAACTGACTGAGTAACTAACTAATCAACTAACTAACCAGCTAACTGACTGAGTAACTAACTAACCAACTAACTAACCAGCTAACTGACTGACTGACTAACTAACCAACTAACTAACCAGCTAACTGGCTGACTAACTAACTAACCAACTAACTAACCAGCTAACTGGCTGACTAACTAACTAACCAACTAACTAACCAGCTAACTGACTGACTGACCGACCGACTAACTAACTAACTAACTAACCAACCAACCAACTAGCCAATTAGGCAATTTTGTCCCCTGAGAAATCAGTTTTTACTTCAATGTTTGTAATTGTATATCTTATAACTAACCAAATTAATAAATGGCTAGCTTGTGTGTTAGTTGACAAACTGGCCATTTAGCCAACAAAGTAGCCAGCTTACTAACCAACTAACTAACTAACTAGCCAGAACATGTACTAACAAACTAGCTAACTAATTGGCTAATGTTGTCCCTAACTCTGTAAAGGTAAAGTTGGTTGCATTAAAAGGTCCTAAGTTTGCATTAACCTGCAGGAGCTCTGAGACATTGCTAGGCTTTACCGTGTGTTATCAGTGCAACCAGCAGCATTACTATCAGCCTGTCAGTCAATCTATTTCATATTTGATATCTTACCCCCCAGACCCTGCAGGCGGACTGTGAGCAGGGCCTCTCTCTGATGAAGACCCTCAGGGAGAAGACTCAGCGGGCGCTGGGCTTCCTGGAGGAGGAGGAGGCTGGCAGGCTGCAGGAGGAGGTGGAGGAGGGCCTGCTGCAGATGGAGCAGCTGATGGAGGCTCTGAGGGTTCAGCACACCTCCACAGAGAAATGCATCGCTCTCTCCAAAGACTTCTCCGACAAATACAGGTCCCAGAACCAGTGGCTGAGCGAGACCAGGACCCTGCTGGCCTCCAGCGTGGAGCCCAAGGCCGAGCTGTACCAGAAGAAGGCTCAACTGGCCAAATACAAGGTGAAGAAACATCTTTATTTATTATATTAAACTCTGGTATCTGTACCAGAAGAAGGGTCAGTTAGCAAAATGCAAATTGAGGAAGGGAGGAAATACTTTCAAATGTTTGTTTCTGATATGATTGTTGTTGTTGTTGTTGTGCAGACGATCCTGCAGACAGTGCAGTCTCATGACTCTGCTCTGAAGTCGGTTCTGGAGAAAGGAGAGGTTCTGCTGGACTCTGTGCACGACCCGTCCATCAGAGACAACCTGAGGACGCTGCAGGAGGACTACCTGCTGCTCTGTGACGCTGCTCAGGTACATATCATATAACATGTTAGATACTAACATGAGGACGCTGCAGGAGGACTACTTGCTGCTCTGTGACGCTGCTCAGGTACATATCATATAACATGTTAGATACTAACATGAGGACGCTGCAGGAGGACTACCTGCTGCTCTGTGACGCTGCTCAGGTACATATCATATAACATGTTAGATACTAACCTGAGGACGCTGCAGGAGGACTACCTGCTGCTCTGTGACGCTGCTCAGGTACATATCATATAACATGTTAGATACTAACATGAGGACGCTGCAGGAGGACTACCTGCTGCTCTGTGACGCTGCTCAGGTACATATCATATAACATATGTTAGATGTTAACTATTCTTACAGATTTATAATATTTATAACTTCAGGGATATTTAATTTTGTTCTTGTATGTTTGTTCCTGCAGATGTATCGTTTTATAATCTCAAAGAATATTAACTTTATTCCTCATAAACTTTGGAGTTTTTCATTGTTATTTTACCTTTTTCTTCTTTTGCATTTTAAATATATGACTCTTCCTCACAGATTTATAATTTTAAAACCTCCAGGAGTATTTGTGAGTAGATGAGTGTTGACATGTTTTGTGTGTGTGTGTGTGTGTGTGTTCAGACGCAGGTGCAGGTGCTGGTGGAGTGTGTGAAGGAGCACGAGGAGTACAACACCGAGCTGCAGGAGGTGGAGAAGTGGCTGCTGCAGATGTCCAGCAGGCTGGTGTCCTGCGACTCCTCGTGGCAGAGCGGAGGCATGGAGGCCGCCACGCAGCAGCTGGCACGACACAAGGTCCTGAAAACAGAGATATATATATATACCTACATGTTGGGAAAATAGTGAATGTCCTCTTCCAATATCAGAGTCCACATGATAACAAAGGTATCCCAACTGTAGCTGTGAACATGACAGGATGTATGATTACCTAGAAGAGCATCAGGACTGTTTTAGGCATATGATTGCTATGTGATTAACATGATGATTCAGCCTCTATGGAGATAGACATATGACAAGCATGCTCATTTCTGACGTGGAGCTAATCTGAAGTAAACATTGAATACTGCTTTCTATTCCTCCATCTTGTGACTGTGTAACTCCCTCTCTTGGATATCAGCATGTGAAGGACACTGTTCAGGAAACTAGTTGATGCTCTGTATGTGATGACTACTTTTTTGAGATTTTGAGAAAAAAAGTCAGAATCTAGATATTTTGAGTAAAAAGTCAGAATTTAGAGATTTTGAGTAAAAAGTCAGAATTTGCAGTTTTGAGAAAAAAATACAGAATCTTTTGATTTTGAGAAAAAAGTCAGACTTTTTTGATTTTGAGAAAATAGTCCGAATTTTTTGATTTTGAGTAAAAAGTCAGAATTTAGAGATTTTGAGTAAAAAGTCAGAATTTAGAGATTTTGAGTAAAAAGTCAGAATTTAGAGATTTAGAGAAAATATTCAGAATTATGAGATCATAAATACATGGATCCTGAGATTGAAGCTCAAGCCGGGGACCAGGGAGAGTTTCCTAACACTACAGAAGTGTATTAATATGCTCTGTGTTTTTAACCCCTGACTGTTGTCTTGCAGGCAATCATGGAGGAGATCTCCGGCTTTGAGGAGCGTCTGCGCAGTCTGCAGCAGAAAGCAGACGCTCTGCTGAGCAGCTGCTCAGAGCAGATCCAGAGTAAGATCCTGCAGCAGGTGCAGTCTCACCTGCAGGGAGCCAGAGACAGCTACAGCGCCATCTGCAGCACCGCTCAGCGCGTAAGAGAAACAACCTAATACTTTTACTAACGTTCAAAACATAAAAAGCCAGGAAGGTGGAGTCATTTTCTTAGTTAAAAACTTCAAAGAAACGTGGTAAATTTACACAAAAAAATCTAATATTCTCATAGACTTTAATTTCATAATTTCTACTAACATTAATCCGAGATATACAGTTTATTGAAGGATTAAAAATGTAAATTGGTTCTCTTTCACAAAATAATAGCTTCATAATCTCAGAAAGTTATTTTTAAATCTACTCCCTACATTTCTGAAATCCCAATTTTATTTTTGATTATAACCTCCCTCACTGTCTTTGAATGTTATATATTTGTGTATCCTACACTGCCCTAACATGCCTCTGCATTGGATGATAATATAAAGCTTAAATAAAGGATATATATTTACCCAGGTGTACCAGAGTCTGGACCGGGAGCTGCAGAAGCACGTCAGCCATCAGGACACGCTGCAGCAGAGCCAGGCCTGGCTGAGAGCCGTCCAGGAGGAGGAGCTGCAGCTGCACCCCCCCACCGGCCTGCAGGGGGCGCTGAAGCAGGTGAAGCAGTACCGGGCTCTGCAGCAGCAGGCGAGCACCTACCTGGACCTGGTGTGCTCAGAGTGTGACCTCTCTGATGAGGCTGTGAGGATTACCGCTGCTCAGGTGCAGCAGCTCAAACTCACGGTCAGTACACAACCACTTTATTATCCTTAATATCTTATTATTATATCTTTATCAAACAGGGACGATGCATACAAATACATGATTCTCAAAAAGAGAAGAGATGCTAAAAGCTGGAAAAGCGTATTTCCATCTGCAGTCCCTGGACAGGAACACACATAACAATCAGCAAACATTAATGCATTTCATAATGCCTATCACACGATTAAAACAAATCAAATACAGATTAATTAAATATACAGCACACACCAACACACACCAGCACACACACACCAACACACACCAGCACACAC